TGTTCCGTAGGCTGAATTCAAGATGAAACCGCAACTGTAACAGATTCTGGGAGGGAAAAAAAATATACAGACATCAACAATCTAATTGATTTTGACCATAATGTGCATTTTTGAGTGTCACAGACCCACATCTAGCATATGATTATTGCCATCTGCCATCGTCGCCGTCGTTACTGTTGTTGCCGCTGCGAACAACCTCATAAATTCACTTAAATTACAAGAAGAGTTGTAAATTTGTTCAGATTCTTCAATAGAGACCCATTGAAATGAATGAATGCGATTGATTGAAAAGGCGCGAAATATATTTTGATCGGAGGAAATGAGATTTATTTTTTCCAAATGGAAAATTTATATTTCTTCTTTGATTTTGTATGGAATTGTTGAACAACTTCGAGATTTTGATGTTTTTAATAATTTTTTTTGCTGATTTGCTTCAGTTTTATTCGAATCGACGTTTTTTATTTGGAATAACATTTTTTTTCTATGATTCCTCATTTTCGATGATTTGTTTTTTTCATTTAAAATTGAATTGTTTTAAAACAGCAAAGAAAAAATCCCAAACGAGACAATATAGTCGAGTCAAGCCACTTCCAAAACTAATAGTTAAACAATATATATGATATCTAAACACAACATGTTCTTTTGTTGACAACACCGAATGCTCAAGTCTAAACAAAACTGCACCTTGTTGCATCTGCCTCATTCGTGTTCGTACAACTTTATTTTGAGTCGCATAAAATATCAAATTTCCATTTTGGTTGAGAAAAACTTCTCATTTTCAAGACTAGTGTGTGTTTGTGTTGTGGTCATTGTTTCATGTGTTTTCACACGCAACCCAAACTGATGTCATCATCACTTTCATGTCAGACTTTCGGACCGCGTGAACCTTGAATAGAATTTCATCAAGCAATTCCACGGTTTTTAATTTGTCAATTGGTGTTTTGAATAAAGTGCCAACGGTTTTAACGAAATGAATAGGTTTCCTCCGGTAATTACTCAAAGTAATAAATTACGACAAAAAAAATCTGAGTTCCAATATATATACAAAAGCCTGGTGTTTCTCTTTCTCTTTCACATTCCTAGACTGTTTACATTTTGAATGCGACGTATACACTTTCCACGTCAACACAAAAACAATTACATGCCAGGGAGTATGTTGAATGGTGTCATTTACGAGATGGTTCTGCTTCAATTTGTGTGTACCGACTCTATTTCCGTATTCAAACAGCCTGAAAAAAGTGCATACGGTCAAATCAGCCGCAATTTACGCATTAATTTCCAAGCATTGATTTATTTTCTATTTTGTATTTACACTACGTGTTTACATTCGGTCCGATTGGATTTGGTGTGAAAAAAGTCAGGTTTATTTATCATTAGCGCTGCAGTTGTGTGTTTTGAGAAACGACGACAAAACATTTCTGAAAATCGATGATATTTCTGATTGAAATTTCTTAAATTTTCGTCTCGGCACGTCACCTTTCAGCAATGCCTTCTTCGATTTGAAGCAATAAATCAATTTTTTTCACACAAACAGAAAAGTCAAAGAAACATTTTTAATCGCTGGCTATTAATTTGCATTTCAACGGCGTCAACTCACATTCCATGATTGTTGCTGCACATAACCGACAACATTTATCAAACAATTTATGCCCAGGTGCCCATTTTAGATAACGGTATACACACATCATAACACACATAATTCAATATTATCATAGGCAAACAGATCTCACACTGAAACGAGAAGCGAATTTTTTTTGATCAAATTAAGCAATTTAGAATGCAACAAAACTGCTTGCCATATTGGGAGTGCACCGGTTGTTTTATTCGGAATCAATTAATTGAATCAAAAACCGAGAAAAGAGAAAGGGAGAGAGGGAGAGAGAGGGAGCTAGCAAAAAAATAAACAAAACTGTATCCAATTTGATTTGTGTGCATGTGGCTTTTTTGATGACGATTTCAATGGGGGCGTGGGCGATGGCTATGGCTAATGGGCTTATTTATGGTTTTTAATCAGTCATATAAATAAAATCACAACACACATATTTTGTTTTCACTTAATGGATGTTTATTGCCAGCCAGCACACACATTTTCATTCAAGTTTTTCTCTTTCAGCATTGATTTGACCCGGTCACCACATAGAACCACAGAAGATGGACCAGCTTACATGATATATTTGGTGATTTATCCAAAAAAAAAAAACGGAAAAAAAATTCTGCGGTTCAATTTCATAGCAAACAATAATTTTTTCTCGCTCTCTTGCGCGCTTGATTCGTTAATAGTATTATATGCAAATGTTAATTAAAAGCGACATGCTGGAATGAAAAAAAAAACTTTTAACATATCTTCCCAGTTTCGGAAAACATGAATAATTTATTGCGAATTATTCCATAATTTGGGGCCGTTTTGAAGCGTAGCAATTTCGACCTGTGGCTCAGTTTCATAACATGGCCAATTTGGGCATTTATTGTGTTCGATACACGGTAATTTGTCGCTATGTCCACTGCAAAAATATCGAACGAGAAAAAAAAATCATGCGATCACAAATGTGTGTAGTCGAAAATTTCTTAATTTTCAACAGATTAACAGCTTTCGGCTGCTTTTGGCAAACATCGAATATAAAACAATTAATTCCAGCGCTTGATCGTAATCCCCGTTAAAATATTATGAGAATAGATCATCAACTTAGGCACTGCTGGTTTTTGTGTGTTGTGGATTGCAATCAGAATTTATCGAAAATGTGTCAAAATATACCATATAATCCAGCATCATAAAATTCACATTTTCGTTCGGCGGCTGCTTGAACTCAAACTGAGTGCTGTGACCATTCTTCATCGCGCTTTAATCCAAAATGTTGAAACCGAAAAAAATTTATCCGTTGAAAAATCACTTTATCTATAAGTTGATACTTATTAATTAGGTAAATAATGAATATTTTTTTCCTTCTACCATCGCGTTCTCAAATATTTGACTAGATTTTTGTTCTGTTTAATTGTGTACTGTGTGTGTCGGAACTCTTTGAATTCTGGTGGTGTCCCCGAACTGTTGTTCAAAGCAGAAAAAAATTGGGCAAACCGAAAATGAGATTCCCAAAAATTGATTTCGTGTGAGAAATGTTTATCGATTGCCCATTTCGATACGTCAGCAAATAACTGAATCACTGAAAATAAACCATCGATCCGTGCACACAGAGAAACAACAACTAAACCAACAACAACGAGAAATCCAAATACAAATGACCAGAGAGGCTTCGCTATCGAATGAATTATTTTAATCGTGGTGGATTTATGATTATGACCAAAAATGCAAATGTATTCATATCATAACTAGTTTCATTTTGATCGAAAACCAAAACGAACAAAAAAAAGCCACAACATTTTTGGCTGAAGACGATCTGAGTTGGTCTATTCTGATTCGGTTGCGAGTATGGAATATTGGAATGAAGTCGGTGGATTTTCGAACGGGTGAAAAATGGCTGTGATAACGAATATTCAGCATGTTTGCGTCTAATGAATGCGAGAAGATACTTAAGATCGGCTAATCGAATCACACTTGCTCCTTTGTTTTCTTTTTTTATTTGTGTCATCTCCACTTCGAGCGACTGGTTTTCATTTCGCTGATAATATGGCTGGGCATTGAATATTTGCCTTTTTAATTAAGATCGACGCAGATTACCATTTTTATGGAACGAAACATACGTAGTCATTGGCTGTGAATCATCGCACCAACAGATTTATTGAATGTTAATGTTTCTTCAAAAAACACTTGAATCGAACGGGAAAAAACGGGCCATTTTAATTAATTACCTGATCTCATATGAGATTGCATCAACGACATTGATTCGACATAATGTTTGATCCCGAACAAAAAATAAACACGCCGAATGTGTGTATTTCGGTATGAAATGATGTGTCAAAATTCAAAATGGAGAACACAAAAACAAATCGAGGCAGCGATGAGTTTCGATTTAACGTCAGCAATTGAGAAAGTGAATGGAATCGATATTTCTCTCTCTCTCTCTCTCTCTCTCTACCGCTCTGTCGATGCTATCAACGTGATATTATCGCAGTGGAAATGTGGTGTGAAAACATTTAAATCCATAATCATGTTGAAAATGCGATTGCGACTGAATCGGGCTAATGGCTTTATCGAATGCGATCTAAAGCATGTTTACTGTATGTCCAATATAATAAGCATTCCATTGTGTCTAATCCGCGTGTAGTTTGCATGTCGTGCGCGAGCTTTTCCACCGCTCATTCTCTCTTCATTGTCATGTCATATTTTTTCTTTCTTTTCACAACTGTTGTTATTAATCGTTTTTATTATCGGCTTACACGTGAAAATGACCAAAATCCCAATTTATATCATCTGCTTTCGAATCTTGAAATCGCTTACCGCGTTGCTTACTGCTTGCTGCTGGGCGTCTTTTGTTTCGCTCAATGTTCTATTTATTCATATTTTTGTTCATTTTTGAATTATAATTTATAACTAAATCTCGAAATGTTGTCCACTGTCGAAGCGTGCATATTTGTAAAAGGAAATTCGATCATTGTTGTATTGGTTTTCATCTTAGTTTCTGTATTCGATCTATTTCAAATCTATTTTGGATGTGTCAAAATGAAACAGTGTTAGTCAAACATCTTAATCCGATCGAAGAAGAGAGAAAAAAAAATGCGAAATGAATGTCTTCGCAACGCGAGTCTTGCATGCGGAATAGCAAATATGGTCGTAAAAATGTTCATTTTATAGGCATGAGTGTCAATGCGATAAGACATTGATGCCGATTTTTTGTTCCTTCATACAAACAAATTTTAATAAATACCCGTCATTATTGTAAAATTATGTTAACGAGTTGCGACTCCACCCAAGACGAAGTTATTCCGCGCAAAACTATTTATACATATCCATAATGTCCTCGTGCAAGTGTGGCCACCGCGATGACTTAAGCCGCCTATATCAACTCAACATTTAATCCATTGAAACGTAGATTATATTACACGACGATTTGGCAGACACTTTGGCGAATCTTCAATCCAAAGTTTCGCATTCACGATGAGTAAATACCCAGCCATTTATATCCAGATCATAAATTTGAAATTATTTATACGATATAATGTGGTGTTTCAAAAACAGTCAATCAACTTGTTTCAACAAAAAAAAAATCACAGTGAATCGAAGAGAGCAGTGGATATCGTCTGTAGAAGAACATTTATTATCTTAATTAAATTGTTCGATGGGTATTTCGATTGACTTTTTTTGTGTCCACTTTTGACTCTAATTTCGATTTGGATGCCGTGTAATATTCAAATGGGAAAACATTTTCATTCATCGAATCAATCACGATATTTCATTTGGCGATCAAAGTTAATTGGTTGATGTGTTCAGTGTCGCGTCGGCATATCAAAGCACCGTTTTAATTAGTTTGTTAATTTACTGATAAATCAAAATACACACGAAAAAAAAACACATACGCATATTGATTAAATCCAACAATGCTAAAGTGTGCCAGTCGTTTGAAAAATTAAACAGCCAAATGAATGATTAAGACAAAAGAGTCGCGAGCTCGCGGCTAAAAACCATTAATGCTCGATTCGGTGACACATTCAATAAATCTATTATTCATACGAAAGCCGCAATACCATTTGCGTGTGTGTCTGTGTGGATCACAGAACACAACGTACACCAAAAACAAACCATGAATAATTGATATATGTTTTATGTGCCGACCGGGTGACAAATGCACGCGAACTTTTAAGGAATTTTGGTTTGAAAATGTGGTTGACTTCTTCGGATGACTTTGTTTTGTTTTTTTTTTCTTCGTTTTTTTTTGCCTGGGTTTAATTTTTTTCATTTCAATATTCGAATGGCAAAAGTTGAATCAACTTAGTTGAATTGGCAAATGTTTAGAATAAAAGAAGATAGAATTCACTTTTTATGGAGCGAAAAAATGTTCTACACGTTTTTTACGCGAAAATTAATCCATTCACCGGTGGTTTTGATTTCCAGTCTTTCTTTCTCTCCCGAAGCATCGAACTGTAAAACTGGAATTCACATAATTTTAATTCATATTATTGTTATCAACGGCTGACAATCTGTGTGAGTTCATTCATTAATTAAATTGGCACCTGAGCGCATGTAACCCAATACGCGGTATGTGTAATGGCTGTATAAACACATACACACATATTCATTGTGACGGATTTCCAAACAAGAATTGTTTTTTTTTCTGTTTGTTTCAACCAGCACGATCCGTTAAAAACGAAAATAAAGCAAAAGACAAAAGTCCGAGAGTGAATCGAAATGCTAAGTATCGGTTTCGAAGCCGCAAGGCGCCAAACGACTGTTACGCATTCAAAATGCTAATCAAAAAGCTACCGTAAATATCAAGATTATATTTTTCTATTGAGACCACTTCAGACAGCATGATCTTTTTTTTTCTATCGAAAATAAAAAGAAAAGATCTAAGCATGACACCAAAATAAAACACGTTGAAACGAAAACAAATATTGTGTATACAAAATATTGTGACTTTCGATGGAAATGCTCAATTTCACATTTCAAATATGGTTTATGAAGGGAAGAATTTTTTTGGTGTTATCTTTACATTTCATCACGCGAGTTGGTGGCGTACCAACTCAAATTTTACGTAATTCCTAATTTTATATGCGTGAGCATAAAGTTCAATTTTAATGACAGTGAGGGTTTCACTTCACTCGTTGACGATACATCGCGATGTGGTGGTATATCATTTTCAGACCACGATTATTCGTGACCAATCCATAAAAACTCATCGAAATAGTGTGACATTTTATTATCGACTTCATTCGGACTTGACAACACTCCGAGAGACAATTCTAATGGGGAATTAATTGACGATTTTTATTGCACATTATTTGCTGCCCATTAAAATCGCATAAAACGAAATAAACAATAGGGAGGTGACACTATTAACGGCCATTTATGGTGCACACACAAAAACCGATTGTGTGAATACTTTTGGCCATAATCATGATCTATAACTTCCAATTTTATGCCATGCATTTCAACAGAATCAGCCCATCTGGAATTTATGGTTTCAACGAAATGAAATTTGCCGGCAATGATCAAATTTTATTTGTCATCTCATCTGGATGGACGATCATTGTCGAAATAAAATTTAAAGTTTAAGAAAAACCGATAAAATTGTGAATTGGTAAAAAACGATTCATTTTAATTGCTACATTTCATCGTGTATCACGAATGAATGAGAATCGTACACCTTTGCCGCACTCCAACATTCAGCACACGATTCAAAAGTAGTCAGCGCCTGGGGAAATACCGCAACGCATCGCATCGCTACGCATTCATTTGACAGTGACAACTCTCGTAATTTGAGTCATTCTTTTGTTTGTACTGTGCCAACGTCACTGTCGATTGTTCAGAAATGATTATTGCGAATTAGAATCATAGATTTAGAATCGCAATTTTTTGTAAGATATAAAGTGAAACGTAAATAATATCGAAAATGGTGAGTGAATTTCAATTGATAAAACTGTGATTTTCGTTTTTATTGATTAAAATTCGATGGGAATATTAATTTGGTGGGAATTTTCTGTGTTTTGCAGCACGGTCGTTTGAAAGTGAGAACTACCGAAGAGGAGGCGCAACGAAAACGAAATGAACAGGCATTGAAAGTGAAGGCATACCGTGCGGCAATGTCGAAAATCATGGAAAAAAGGACCGCCGAACAATATGATACTGAATTAATGCAGCTTACTGCCGGCGTTTTGTCACGCAATCCAGATGTGTTCACACTTTGGAACATTCGACGCGAATTTCTACTCAAATTGAAAGCCGACACACCAGACGATGTGCAGGAGGTGTACACAAAGGATTTGCAACTGACCGAAACGTGCTTGCAAGTGAATCCAAAGTCATATTGTGCATGGCATCAACGATGCTGGATTTTGGAGAACATCACCGAACCCAATTGGGACCATGAAGTCAAACTGTGCACAAAGTATCTGCGATTGGATGAACGCAATTGTGAGTGAAATTGCGAAATTGATTGAACGACCATTCTTTGTCTCATTGTTTGGTCATTTCAACTCATTCTGGTTCTTATCTTTTCAATGTCATATTCATTTATTTACGTGAATTTCCTTCGAATCGACCATATTCAATTAATATTTTTCTCAATCAATATTCATTTCCTCTAGTCCACGTATGGGATTATCGTCGATACGCGATGAAACATGCAAAAGTGGCCGCCGAAAAAGAGCTAGAATTTTGTACTGAGAAAATTGAGAACAATTTTTCCAATTATTCGTCGTGGCATCAACGCAGTAAATTGTTGCCCATTTTGTACCCGCATGAAACGGACAAAACACGGCCAATTAACGAGGAAATACTACGCAGTGAATTGAAACTAGTTCTAGGTGCAGCATTTACCGATCCAAATGATAGTAGCGCTTGGTTTTATCAGCGATGGCTACTCGGTGAGTCACGGTTCATTTACACAACAATTGACGTTATCAATGTTGCACTGTTTATCGCTTCTTCAAATATCGCTTTGTTTTTTCAACGAACAATTTGTTTTGTCAAACATTTCACAACTTGAAATCAACGATTATAACGCTTGTTTGCTTTTTACAGGTAATTCAGAGCAAGAGCTCGATATAGCTGCATTTAAATTGACCAAAACGTATGCATTGATAACATTCACACGACCCGTTGACCTCTACAAGTGTTCCATCAGTTTGGATGCCACCACCAAATTCGATACGAACAAATGGCAACCGGTTAATGGTGAACCACCGGTGAAATACTATCCGGTCTGGAAGTTGGAGGATTCATTTGAACTAAACAGCGAAGGAGACACGATTTTCGACTTAACTTTCGTCGATGAAGACGACAATTCGCACAGTTTACAGATCACGAAAAGTAATGACGGTTTATTTGGTATTAAAATGCCACGATTCGGCTATGAATTCGGTTCAGGAGTTTTAAGCGTACTTGAAGAGCAGCTTAGCTCATGTCAAGAGCTTCTAGAGTATGAGCCGGATAGTAAATGTAAGATTTTGGCAACTCAATCCGATTTGTTGTTAGTTTGACTTTGAAATTTTTTTTAAATTTTTCTTTCATCCAATTTGCCTTCTTTCATCAGGGACCCTGTTAACGGCAGCTCTGCTTATGCATGCCACCGATCGCAAAAAGTATCATTCCGAGTCGTTGGAGTTTTTGAACAAGCTGAAACAATATGATTCCAATCGTACAGGCTACTATACGGATTTAGCCAACAAATGGAGCATTGAACACCGTTTGGCTGACTGGATTGCAGCATTGGAAAGGAATCGTGACATGCCAATTGACTTATCGAATTTGAATCTTGTCAATTTACACTACAAACAATACCTTTGTGTCGCCGATCGCATTGATTTGTCGGCCAATTGCTTTGATGGCAAACGAACCGACGAAATTTTCTCATTGCTAAATGATTGTAATGTTAAGTTTGCTTTGGCAAAAACAAGTGATCCTTAATTTTACTGATGAAATCAAGTTGAATGAAAAAAAGAGCATTTGATAAAATAAAACCGTTTAAACATTCAATGGGCAATAAATAATTTCATAAACTCATGATAAACGAGATATTTTTTCGTACTAACTAATAGTTGCAGCGAATACTGAGGCGATTACATGGCGATCGCATTGAGAATATAAAGGAGTTGAAACAAAAAATCTGATATGATTCGAAGTAGCTGTCAAGACGCACAATGAATAATGAATGCAATCAAATTGATCAATAAATTAAAACGGGGCACCGAATGTGATCCGTTGATACGAGGCAATGATTAAGTTGACAACTCTATCAGTCTATTGTTTAGGAAAAACGCTAATAATTGTTCGTGTACTCGCGTAGTTGTGATAAAATGTGGCGGCAAACAATGGCATCAAGTGCCTTAATATGTTAAATCAATTCCAAATAATGCAACCGTTTCACTCGAATCAAAAGTGCCGCTATTTCTTTTTCTGTCAGGACAGAATGTTCGCATTTCCTGACTGAACCATGAGGAATCTAAGATTATGAAGATTTTTTAAAATATCTATGGCCAAAAATCAACCAAGTACCAGTACTCCTAGCCCTGAGAAAAATTAATGCATTAGAGGGTTAAGATTGACTATGCTGATGACAAAAATCGAATAATCTCAGAATGAAAACATGCACAAGTGCCGTAAAATCGTTCTAATTACTATAATTTTTTGTAAAGGGAACTACTTATTGATTTTACAAATCAGAACCATTTGGTTCCATCGCTATTTCAATTTGTCAAATTCAGCTTTGCCGAATACTTGCAGCAAATACACAACTGAAAATTCCAAAACGCATCGCATCGAGTAAATGTCAATTTTTTCTTTCCTTCCAAACTATTTCGAAGCGACGAAGGAGAGGAAAAATTGGCATCTTTCTACTGCCGGGATTCGAACCACGGACCTTCTGATTGCCGGTCAGATGCTCCATCCGTTGAGCTACAGCGACCCCGAAGTTAGCGTTATTTCATTCTCAGTTGAGTGCGAAAATGCCTTGTAAGGTTAAATCATGAATGAAAACATGCACAAAAAATGAAATAGCGATGGAACCGGATGGTTCTGATTTGTAAAATCAATAAGTAGTTCCCTTTACAAAAAATAATAGTAATGGAATAATCTCAGAACTGAAATTTTCTAGTAGTGTTCACGTATCGAAAAAAAATCACATTTTTCCACGTATTTTTCCACCAAAAGTAAATTTTTGTTCAAAGCAGCCATTTTTATGGTTTTTTAGGCCACAGAATTCGAATCCACCCAAAAAGAAATAACAAAATTTTCAGTGGGAAAAATTGATATTTTTCTATACATTTATACGGATTTTTTTGCGTTTTTTCGGTTTTTCTCCCATAACTCATACTTCATATGCGATGGAGCAAAACTTTGTTCAGCAAAGTTTTAGACCTTGCTGAAAGCTACAATTTGCCGCAGACAGTCACGGGACAAATACGAATATATGTTCTGTTTGTGAATTCTGTTCTCAACTCATTTTTGTCCTGACGAAGAACTACAATGAACAATGTGGATCTATGATGAAATCACGACTTTAGATTTGGAACGAAAAAATAAACGATTTGTGTGTTTGAAACAGAATTGATCCTGTACGTGAATTTTTGGAAGAAAACCCTTATCAATGTGTTAAATTGGAACAAAAACGGCTTGCACTTTTAACTGCCCTTGATGAGAGGAAGAGCATTTAAAACGTATTCAAGAAAAATCGTCACCAGAGCAAAAAAAACGAATCAAATGCAATCGAATTAGTTGAAAAATTAAAATGGGAACACAAAATGCGACCTGTTATCGATTGATCTTAGTAATCACTATTTTTTTTTAAACGAGGCAATAAATATCATAAAACCTATCAATCTTTTGCATAGAAACTAAAACAGCTGATAATTTTTCGTGTACTTCCTCACGTAGCAGTGATAAGATGGGGCGGCGATGCCATTGTTCGCTTAATAAGTGCTTAATATGACAATTTGGCTTTGAATATACGTCCAATTGCGTTCGTTTCGCGCCAGCTAATAATGCCGTTGTTTCTTTTGCGGTCACATTATAAATGTGAATAATATTTGTCGTCTGTGATTCACATTCTGTTCTTTGTCATAGAAACACTATAAACGATCACATTTCAGTGCTCAGTCCGTTTTGATCGTTTGTATTGTGAACACCAAATTAAGTGCAGAGCCCGATTCGTTAGAGAACCAAACATTTATATTCAGTTAAAATGAAATTGTTCATTGCTTCAGTACTCTATTTGGTCGCTGTCACATCAGCCCAAAATCCGAATAAATGTAAGTGACATTTCTTAAATTCTCGTGGGCTATTTTGCACTTCAAGTTATCAAAAGTCTGCATTTGGACTATGAAGCATTTGAAATATTCACAGTGAAAATAGATGAAATTCCTTTGTTGCAGCGCATTCTTTGTTTTGATAAAACCTGTGTGCCACACTCCAAACAATTTGTGTTTTAATGTGAAGCCCATTTGAAAGCATTGTGCTATTTTCACATTCCTGGTTTAGATGTAGTTTTGTAGATAATGATTCTTTCAAAAAATGCATCAAAATTCCATCATTTTTGCTTTAAAACAGGCAGCCTACGGTCAGCGGATATACCACGTGATTTCTTGGACATGAGCATTGGTTGCAAAAAAGAGGTGCGTCGTCAAATCCAAGAGGAAATCAATGCAAGTATGCAATACTTGGCAATGGGCGCTCATTTTTCGCAATCGACGATCAATTTGCCGGGTTTTGCTGAATTCTTCTTCAAAGCGGCCGCTGAAGAACGCGAACATGCTACCAAATTAATTGAGTACTTATTGATGCGTGGCCAATTGACCGATGACGTATCAACCTTAATCGAAGTCAAAGTAATTTCTCAAGTCCTTGTTTCTAAGGCAATCTTAAGTGGATTTTATCGCTACACTATTCACACACCTATCCGATTGTAATCTTAATCATTTTTACGTTAGAGTCCACCAACAGTGAGCTGGGAACGTGGTTTAGATGCATTGAAACAGGCACTCCGAACCGAGGCAAAGGTTACGAAGAGTATAAAACAAGTGATCGCCAGTTGTGAAAATGACAGCCATGATCATACCAATGATTATCATGTATGATTTTATTTTCCAATCAACTTTTGTCTACAGATTCAAGTCCATAAATGAATGTGTTTTGTGTCTGTTTTTTAGTTGGTCGACTTTTTGACCGGTGATTTCTTGCAAGAACAATACTCCGGCCAACGCGATCTCGCTGGAAAAATTTCCACATTGGAAGGATTGGTGCGGCAACAAGGAAGCTTTGGTGAATTTTTATTTGACAAAACAATCTTGGGATAAACACATTGAGCAATTTCAATGAATTCACCGCAATGAAAACTAAGACGACATGAATGCAAACTCTGAATTTCGAATGCACTTTGGTCATTTTGATCAACAGTTCTTTATTACTTCTACCATTTTAGCACGCGAAGCACATGAATATTCTTTTTGACAATGTGTGTTTAATTGTAAATAAAGCATTCATTTTTTGTACTTCGTTGTGTTTCAGATTGGAATTTAATAAAAAACGGATATAATTTGAATTCGAGTTTCTACATTTTTAGACACACAAAACCGAGGCATGACTTTGAGATTGAAATATTTTGTCAAAAGCAATTGGAACTCAAATAATTTGATTTTTCAGGGATGGAAATAATAAAAAACTAAAAATTTCAATATTCTGTGTAACACAAGTGTTTTTTCTCGGTATGTGATGATATGATACTTTCGTTTTGCAAAAATTGAGCTATCAAAAATTATCTGTTTCACCTTTGCAAATACGGTCATACAATTATGGATTAAATCATTATTATTTATTGATTGCAACCAATATGTGTATTTAAAAAAAAACAACTTTGAAATCACCTTAATTGTTGTTCATTCAAAAAAGTCAAGTGTTTTTGTGATTTTGTCGTTATCTATTTGTGAAATCGCATTTCTTTCTTATTGTATCAAGCCCAGACATTCGATAAAACTGGCGGATTGAGTTATTACTTTGAAATAAATCTGAAAACAGGTAAAAATGCGTTTTAAATTTAAAATACATTACCTCCCCGATTTTATTGATTCTGATCAATTCATTTCATTCGATTCAGAAGCAATCAGATTTCAATCTTCTTTTCCTATTCTCTTTCTTGAAAGAAATGTCTTTCATTATTATCATTTCATTCTTTTCTTCCCTTTTCCATTCTTTTTCTCTTTTTCTTTCACTTTTTCTCTATGATCATTTGGTATTGACCATGCCAATTGATGTTGTCTTTGCTTTTAAGTTAATTTGCACTACATTCGAAAGCAAAAAGAATCGTTTTTTTTTCAGACATGAAGTGGTTTTCGCAAAACGTGAGCAATCAAACGGTTCAATTAGCTTGAACGGAAGCAAAATGGTCAGCAAACTATTGCTATCGTCCCATGAGCGTAATTGAAATAAGGTAATAAATATTGTGACAATAGACTTTCGATCTTTGGCATAGAAAAAAGTTGAAAAACAAAAAAGAAATGGTGTTCTATTGTGTTTGTTCACGTAATTGTGATAAAATTGGCGAGAGCAACGGCAGCAGCGAGTCAGCAAATATATGTGCTACTCAAGTGGTGTGCGATAATAATAACGCAAATATTCCACAGTTCAGATACTTTGTCAGAAATAAACGCAGCTGTGAATGTCATTGTTTCTCTTTTTTGCTTTCAATGGGATACACAAATAGTGTGTGTATATCTGTTGTATGCCTGTGACAGTGAGTCCAACGCGTGTTGGTGCGACGGCAACAACAGCAACAACGAATGCGATATTGGAATGAGGAGAAATAGAGTAAAAAAACAAACATGGCGGCCGTTGTGCTTAAGTGTATGTCACAAAGTTCGTCACAACCCTCGTATAGTACTGTGAGTGAAGTATATCAGTTCACATTGTATTGGTACATCCGATTGTAAAATACAACGCAATTTAATTACCCATTTCAATTGAAGTGTACGCAGTAAATTCGTTGAAAGTTGCCGTTTTATAAACGTCGATTTTTCACCAAATCCAACAGTTCATTTTGGATCGCCTTCTATGCCAGTGCGTGTAAAGGTCGATTTATCGTCTCATACCGTGTACGTGTATATATTCTATTGTTCGACTGATTGAATTAAAGTGCTTACTCAATGCGATAATTTTGCACGACACTTTTTTCTCTTTCCGTTTTGCAAACGTGTGTGCCATTCCATTCTAACCAAAGCTTAATTTGTTGTTGTTATTTCTTTCTACTTTCAGTTTTACTAAACGCTCTACTATCACCCCGAGATTTACATTATATTCATTGTGACAAAGACACTGCAATTCCGAGAGCACAATCAACATCTACGTTCAGTTCACTTTGATCAGTTGTATAGTGAAGACACAGTTATAGAAAAAAAAATTTTTTCGTTCAAACCAAAATCAAAGAAGTGAAATTAAAATGAAGATGCTCATTGCTTCAGTTCTAGTCTTGTTCGCTGTATCATCAGCGCAAGCCGAAGATACAATAAAATGTAAGTGCATTTAATTGGTGTGTTGGTTGTTGTTGTTTATTTTTTGAATGGTTTATCGAATTAAAACGCAAATTGTCGCTGTGGACTATGCACCGCGATAACTGAATGCTGTGCGGATATTACGGTTTCTTTGTTCAGATACATGGGCGCACGAATGACACATTCAACGATAAATATTCTGTTTGTTGTTTTTGCTCTTCCAAACTATTTGTGATTCCATCAATGTATACCGAATCAGCGGAATTTCATTGAAAAAAAACATTTCCGAGAATAAGAAAAAAATAATTCACCCTGGAACGGGGAAAAAGTGTGGAATTGCATAAATAGAAGCACTAGTGATGAAATGTTGTGAAATTGATTGACCTCATCACGTCCGATGCATGTCATTCTACGTTGTACTTTTCCGCCGTTCCCCGTTTTTCTTCTTCGCATTGAGTGCATGTGTTTGGGACGGCAATATCAGTTGCGGGATTCTCATGTGACCAATTTTGTGACAAATAACTTTGTTTTTTTAATCAAATGACAGCTGATTTGGTTTTTTTTTTTGCTGTTCGGACCATCGGAATTTTTGCTTATCATCCTGTTTATGACTCTATTTATTCGATGCCATAAATCTTCTAAAACCAATTTCAACGTTGATCAAGCATTTGCGCGTGTTCGCCGATATTTTATTTCTCGAGTATCACCTTTCTAGAATGTTTTCGAAATTTGACATGCGTTCATTGGATGTATGCTGTTTATCGTAATTAGCCGTTATAAATGCGTGATTGCGTTTGAATTTGCTAGATAAATCGTAATTGAAATTTCGTATAGATGTTCTGGAAAATTTATCGCGTAAATGCTCACATTGATGGATCAGTAATGATTATATTTATCCAATCATGATTAGAAATGCTGTTTTTCGTCATTTTTACATGAAATTTCTCGGTTTTGAATTATTCTCATTCAAAAAAAACATATTGACAAGAAATGAATCGATGACGCGATTTTTTCTATAATTTGTCAACGATTTTTTTCTCGGGCTTCTTTGTTTTTTTTTCGACATTTTTGCGTATCCACTTTTTTCAAATTTGTTTATTCTTCAAATAAAATATCATTTGATGTTTGAGAGAAAAAAAACCTCGATCTCATGAAAATTAATAAAATGGTTTTCATGTAAATTGTTTCTCAAAATAGGTACACCACCAAATGGCGACGTTCCGGAAGACTTCAAGGATATGACCAAGGGTTGCTTCGACAAGATGCGTAGTCAAATTCAAACCGAAATCGATGCTAGTATGCAATACTTGGCAATGGGTGCCCATTTTGCTCAAGACACCATCAATCGTCCTGGTTTTTCGGAATTCTTTTTCAAAGCGGCTGCTGAAGAACGTGAACATTCTCACAAATTGATTGAGTACTTGTTGATGCGTGGCAATTTGACCGACGGCATTTCAACATTGATAACCGTCAATGTAATTTATTTATTTTCTCCTTCATAATCTATTCCGTAGATTTATTATGAGTTGATCTAAAAATGCCTCTCGAAAACATTGTCGTTTGGCCGAGTTTCGAGTGCATTTAATAGCTTTCTTTTTATGATTTTATGACAGTGTTATCAATCATTGATTTTTATCTACAATAATTTTTTGTTGCAGCTTCCAAAAAAAACATTATGGACAACCGGTGTCGAAGCATTGAAAGACGCACTCAAATACGAAGTCTCAGTAACAAAGAGCATTAAGGGAGTTATCGCACAGTGTGAAGAAGACCCAGTTAAAACCGATGAAGGTGTCCAGAATGTCAACGATTATCATGTATGCTCCTTTTCTTGTGTTTTTTTTTCTTCATTCACACCAATTTCATATGACAAACACTAAACTGAATGGTTATATCTTTGCAGCTTGTCGACTATTTGACTGGTGTTTACTTGGAAGAACAATACCACGGTCAACGCGATCTCGCCGGAAAGATCTCGACATTGGACAAATTGATGAAAAGCCACGGACCATTGGGAGAATTTTTGTACGACAAAAAACTCTTGGAATAAAAACTCACAAGCAGTTTCCAATGCAATTCAAAATTCATCATTTTGTTTGCACCACCAGTTTATGGTTGAAAGAAAAAAAAACAATTTAGTTTTTTTTATGCTCTGTACTTTGCGTACTACTTGCGCTTGTGATCACAAAATGAAATAAATAGATTAGTCCGATAATTGGAATATTCAAATCAAAGCATTCAAATGCCATACTGTATATGATTTTCAAGTAGATGCTAGCACTTTCAAATGGTGGAAAGTTCTTTATACCGTTCATAGAATATTATTCGGTTATAATTAATCCAAAAATACCGCGCATGGAATGACATTAACTATTCGAGCAATGATTGATTGATGAATATAAAATTCCTTTATTTTGACATTTTTATGAAATAAATAGTTAACACAAGCGTTTAGAACAAATTTCTGGAGTTTTTTTACTAATATTTGCAGCTTCAGCTGAACGTATTTTTTTTGTTATTTGTTTGGAACATAGGAAGCTGCTGCCACTACTTCTGCTTACTTCACCAGTAATAAATATCCACTTGATTTAGTCTTAAATAGATGACTTGATCCCAACCATGGCTATGATAACTATAGTTTATGTTGTGTCTATCTCTTGCGTGGCCACTACACCATAGATCGGAATATTATGCTGTTCTGGTGTAATGGGTGCCCGAACTTCGCGTATGAATTGAAATGTATTCGAAATGTTTGGTTCAGCCGGAATTTTAGCCTTTTGACAGAAATCGAAACGATTTTGTAATATGCCAATGAACGTTAGGATTTCAATGTCATTTCCATTTAGAAGTAGGTTCTCGGCAAACGAATTGGCTTGCATTGATTCATGCGTCCGTTTTTGTAAGTATTCCTGTTGCTCCATTATTGACAATGACTTCAATTCCTTGGCCTTGATAATTTGCCGAAACAAAGATTCGCGGTGGGCTTGAAGAGCTTCGATGTAATCTTTTAAAAATATTTCAACTTCCATCTAAAAATTGAAAAGAGGTTGAAAAGTGTTTCAATTTGGAATTATTATTCAATAGTCAAGATGGAGTTTTTTTTATTTGTAATGAAACAACCCATGTCTATGTACATGTAACAAGAACATTGTTCTCGTAGAAAAAATGTTATGAAAACTTGATCAGTTTTACCTCAACAATATCCGCTTTATCGTTTATCTTCAGAATCGATTCAGCAAACTTTGAGCAACAACCGTTAATATATTCATGGAATCTTCGGTTTCGTTCAACTGCTTCTTGGAATTTTTTGATTGCACGCTGTTTTGCCCTTTCAATTGACTCAAATTTGTGTCCTTTATGCAGCAATATGGTGCAGTTGTGGCAAGCAACTTGATTGCAATTGACACAAAACAGCTTGAGATCTTGTGTTGGATGAATAAAACATTTTAGCGATGCATTCGAAGTTAACCCATACTGCTTTTCTCTCAATGCATCCACTTGTTTGCTCTTCAAATCGAGTATCGCAATTAAACTATGCTTCGATGTCGATCGCTGACGCAAATGTGCTTCATGGCAAACATCACACAGGCTAATTTCACAACTTAAACAGTATGCCACGGCCTGAAATTGATGATCAGAAAAATTCAAAAATATTGACCCACAATGGTAATGGGTTTCGTGTATTAAGCTTGAATAATGTTCAAAATATTAAAAAAAAAGTGTTCGAAATATTGACATTAATAAAATGGAGTAGAAAAATAAATTGAAAACTAAAAATTACAATTGAAAATTGATTTAAAATGAAGAATTTGGTTTCAACAAATCCACAGCGTTGTCATTGCTCACCTCGATTTCATCATAGCATTGACTGCAGTAATCATCGTTCAAACACAGTGTTTGTAGTTTATGAATTTCATTCTGTAGTTGTCGTTCAAGTAGAAAATTTTTTGGAACACGATTGACGCCACCGATCGGAATTTCTGTTCGCAATCCACAAATGGGACACTTCAATGTGACTTTGCTTTTCTCCGTGATCGAACTCAATGGGCGCTTCTGTTGTACTGTCAGCGATTTTGGCTGTAATATTTCAAGCCAATTAAATCACATCATCGATTTTTCATTTTTAAAAATAGAATTCGAACTCACTTTTGTTGTGGTGGAAACTCTCCTAATTGGCTTATTGGTGAGTGATGCAACTGACTTTTCTTTGGATTCATCGGAACAGTTGCTGCTGCTCAAGTCTTTATTTTCGAAACTATTCGACCGTAATGTGGGATTTAGTTTACTTGGTGTAGTTATATTTTCGATTGTGTGCAAACATTCCAAGCAGAATGTGTGCAAGCAATCCAATACCCTGGAATCACTTAAAATATTCAAACAAATGCCACATTTAAATTTATCCAATTCTCGGTGATCATCCCGTGATTTGCCAGAAAGTAAATTTGGATCCAGAGACTGGGTCATCGGAATTGGAAGTGACGATAGCGTGGATTCCTGTTGTGAAACATAATTTCGCCGTTCAAATGGTGCACTCATCTTTCGAACCGATCGATATTTGGATACGTCCGTATGATCTTGATGCGGTGCGAGTGTTATTGCACGCAAACCTTTCGGTTGCTCCTTTATTTTCACTGGAATCAACGACGGCCGTATCGCATTTCGAATTACACCACCCGACGAGAGGATTGTCTTCTGAATGTTGGTCGATTGTGAACGCTTGATATTTTGCGGATATCGATTTGTTTGATTCAAAATTTGCTCCTGCGATAGGCTCACTTTGATTTTATTCTTCGTTGTTAATGGTCCAAAATGCGTTGTGATCTGCTGCTGACGACGCACCGTTATTATTGCATTCTCACAATTGCCCAAATCACCCGGACTACTCAAAAATCGTTCGTATCCACGTTTTATTATACTCAACTCATCCAAATCCGTTTCGTTAGACATCGCGAGTGGCGATTTTGTTTGAAGGTGTTTTCAGTTCCGTTGGCAACGGATCGTTGCTAAATAATGACTGAACACCAAATGCAGTTTTTTCGATATCATTACCTTTTTTTCGCTAATTAAGTTAAAGAAAAATCTGTGATTTCTTTTCGGACGACTCGCGTCGACCTTCCAAACTTATTCGGTTTCACCAATCGATATGACAAAAAAGAGCGCCGTGATTAGTTAATGTTACAAATTTTGTAGCAAAACATTTGCTCTAATTCTATTTTTTTAAGTTTCGATTGGATGCAAATACATTTCATATATAGAGCTGACATAGGCACATGTGCCTGTTGAACGTGCCCTGTTGTATGTCTTTGAATCATATAGGAAACTTGTCTGAATTTTAACTTAACAAATTTTCTTCTACTTTTCATTTTTCAAAAAAAAAAAACAATTTTCCTAATGCATGTGGTTTGTGTTTAAATTCCATGTTTATCATCAACGGCTTTTTTCATAAAAATTCGTTTTGTTCCAACGCCGAAAAGATTTTCTTTGGAAAAAAAATTGTTGCAGTACCGCAATAACTCAGTTTGAAAAATATACTAGAAAATCGTCCCGTCCCTTATCTAAGAAACTACTAAAATGCGTTAAAATGTAACCAAGGTCGCTTTCTTCGTATACAAATACATGGAAAAGATTTGACGTAAGATGCCAAGACGCCTCTACGCGTGGAATGCTCGAAGCTGTCATCGTACACATATTGAACACGAACATTGTCGTTTACAAAATCGCACTCACACAAATGAACGCATCGATAGTGCCCTCTCAATATATGTACGGTGACTGTTTTGAGTGTCCCTCGCCTAGAGTGCTGCGTGTCGTTTTTCTTCGTTTATTAAGCGATCTTGATGTAACAAACCATGAATTCAACCATTTATAACTACAATGTCTATTACAAACTGTTTACAACGAACCCGGCTATAAAAATGGTTCGTAATTATTTACAGCGTATTTCAACGGTCATCACATCAAAATACGAATACCCTACTAGTGTAAGACGAACTTTTCTCTATTTTCGTTTACGAAATACCATCTTTATTGAATTGGAAAAAAATAGCATTTTAAATGACCATTCATTTTTCCCATCAATTTATCAATTTCAACCAAATTTCTGTTTCAAAAATAAAACCGATTCGAATTGCACACCATTTGCAAACAAATTACCCTCAAAATATCCCGAAGCTCGAACCAAAGCAAAAAAACAGGACATTTTTATCCTATAAAATGCATCTGTCAAAAACCGATATCGGATTTCAAGTTAAAAACTATGATTTGTGTCGTGGTATTAGTGCCATAAATTTTACAAGTGCATCTATCTAGCCGGCAATCCTATCACATCAAAACACATGAAAACAAAAATGCTGACTTGATTTGTTGTGTAGGATAGCAATAAATTTAATAATTTCTGCGTACACACAGGGAGCGCTTCAAAGGTTCATTTAATTAATGCCAATGCCGAATATAACAATAACCATATGAACAGAATTATAATGGATATAGCGTAACGTATCGTACTTAGCAACAGCCTACATCATACATACAAGTACGCACACACGTACACTCTGAACGTAGGGCTATGTATGAGTGTCCGCTCATATATTTTCGTGCCGCACCAGTATGTTTTATGCGTATCTATACAGTTTGACTTATCCTCTTATATCGATTAGTACTGCTATACACAGCGGTGGAGACTGTTTGGCGGGTGTTTCATTATGGTTTGCATTTTGCATCATTCACTCAAGTAAAACATGAGTGACAAAATGCTTTCTCGTTTTCATTGTCGGCGAAAGCGAATTTATTTGTTGTGTTTGTGTTTTGCACTGTGTTTTGTGTGTCTATTCTTTAATACTCGAAGCAAAAATATTGCCATTTTAAAAACATGCTTCATACCAACACTACGCCATCGAAACGATAACATTACACTGTTTGAGGATATTTTAGAGGCAGAAAAGAAACCAACAGCGGATCGTTCGGTGTTTTTCATTGAAAGTTCCTGTGTACGAAATGGATTGGCCGCTTTAACAGCGAGGTAATTTACAAATGAAATTCAACTGAAACCGAAATTAAGTTTCAACGCCAAAAATCAAAATCAAATGTCAATGTTTGGTTTTGTGTATTCTCTTATGTCAACAAACAGGCAAGCATGTGCTGTTGAATCAGCTGCTCGACGAAATCCCAATCGTGATATTTTCGTATTGTTTCCAGCACAAGTTGGATTCTCTGAATTGTTTTCGTCATCAATTATGCACTCGCTGCGATTATATCGAAATATTTACTTTCGTCGAGTTAATTATCAAAATTACGGGTTGTCTACGCCGGCCGAGACGTTACTGCAATCAGATCGGATTTTTCAATCGAGTTTTTTGACCGAAACACTTTCCGATATTCTACGCTTTGTCACACTTCATAGATTTGGTGGTATTTATTTAGATACAGACACTATTGTTCAACAGGTGAGTCATTTAAATCGCATTACAAATAAAACCCATGAATAAAAAAGGTTGCATCTATTTATACAGAACCTTGACGTTTTGCCCCATGACTTTGCTGGTGCCGAGTCTGACAGTTACATCGCTAATGGTGTACTAGGTTTTAGCAGCCAGGGACTTGGACATGACATTACCGGAGTTATTTTGAAGTAATTTTCATTTTAATTCTTTGAAAAAAATTTCATTCATCTCTTTGTCGAAGAGTCTTTTTACCATTTTTTTACAATTTTGAAGAATTGAGTTCTTCATTCCAAAAAGAAATTATTTGTTTCCATTCTTCAAAGAAAAAAAGAATCGAATAGTCTCTAACATCCATTTTTTCATCATTCTCCACAGAGATATTTGTGACGAATTCAATCCATCGTTGTGGGGTCACAATGGGCCCGATGCCATAACTCGTACACTGAAACGCATTTGCAACGTGAATGATATTACCAAAATGAAGCCGGAAATTTGCTGGAGATTTCATGTCCTACCCAAACGTGTTCTATATCCCGTAAATTTTCTTCAATGGAAAAGGCTGTTTGATCCAAGCCAATTGAACGAAACGTTGCGCATAACCAAAGATGCGGTTGCCGTTCATTTCTGGAACAAACTCACATCATCAACTCCAATTTTAAAGAACTTCAAAAATAAAACCGCCATTGAAATGTACACCGAAAAAATGACCAAACACTCGGACATAAGCAATCCATTCGGAGGAGAAACAGCGTATGGATTTCTTGCAAAAACAAATTGTCCACTGGTTTACAATGCTTCCGGTGATTTTTTCTAAATATTTTATTTTTATGACAAGAAAAAAATTGTAGATAATTTATAAGAAAAAGTTCCATATATTTTCACATAAGTTGTGAAACTTACCAAGGTTAGTCGGTCGATTAAATTTGTAAGAGCAAAAAAAAGAGTCTACCTCATTCAGTGTCAGTCATGAATTCGTGGAATGTTCATCGCATACATGGTTATTCATCAGCTTTAAATTTCATACATTAGTGCGCACCAAGTTTTTTATGTACTTCAAACTACCATAGGGTAGCTAGTCTAGTTTCGTTTATGTATACAAATGTTTACCAATTATTAGACTTTGACCAATTGTTTAAAATGTTTAAATGAATAAATGTTCTTTCATTGTATGAAAGAAAGTAAATACGACCACATGACTCATTTATTGAACACACGACTCAATTTAAACACGCATGTCACATTAGGAGCCGAACATAGCACAGAGAATAGTGTGTACAAGATTGGCGACAATCGTAATTAAGTAATTAGGATTGTTGATAAAAGGAATGAATAAATAAACAAAAATGCAAAGGGAGTTGAAACGAACCGAATCGCTGATGTTGTAAGCTATGGTTTATGCATACACAAACCCACATCCGGTCACAATGTTTTCATAATCCAGTTGAAAGCAAATTCCCAGTGGTACTTGCTATGAGTGATAGGAGGTGAACATTGTTCTATGATTTTAAATTGGTTTACTTGTCAATAGATGGCGATTTAACATAACATTTGAGAGAATTCAAGTCATTTGGTCGAAAGTAAAAAAAAACGGTCTGAAACAAAGAGGAAGATGCCCAGCAGGTATTCCAATAATTGAAATCCAATTGATATGATGCATTTACTTTTTGCGTGCGAAGGAACCACTTTACCCTTTTTTTTAAATATATTTTCAATATTGCACTTGATTTCGTCGTGTTGTTGGAATTTCAGCTGTCATTTGTTACTTTTTATTTGCCATTTGTTACTGATAACGAGATGATCGCAATATGAGATATAATTCTATTTTAGGGTTGATAGCTTGAAAAAAAAACCACAATGCATTGTGTTAATTGATAAAATGTACAATATGAAAATAATTTCATTTTCTGGCCTGGGCATGTTCAATGTTCATCCTTATATTTTTCAAAAAATCTTCATTTTCATTGGCAGTTTGCACCGAAATGTAAAGGTTAGTATTTTGAATGCGACTGGTGTGAATTTGCGGAAGCAAAACAGTTTAAACCGTAGCGATTATTCATAAACCGGATTATACTGGCGTGCTGTACATGATTGAGAGAGAATACAAGTGGTCAATTGAACCTGAATGATGTTGATTAAAAGAGAGAAATAGTCTATAGGGAACATTTTTCTAAAACAATGATGTTTTTCTAACAAGACCGTTTAATTTTATTGTTCAAAGCGATATTATTGTATGAAACCCGCATTTTATCTTAATGTGGCTTATCCAATTATGAGATAGCAAACTCTTGGATCTTTGATTTAGACCAAACTTCGGCAGCAGAGTGGCTTAGCTTTCATGTAATGAATTAAAAAAGAAACATCACAATATTTCTCTGGAATTTCAATGAAGTATGAAATTATTTCATTGATGTGTTGTGATTCATTTGCATGTCTACCGATTGCTGTTCCCTATTTGCATGTGATGGGATCGCTATGCATCCTTTCTAACAATCGTTTTCAATATTGCACTTGATTTTGTCATGATGTCGACATTTCGTTTTGTTTGTGGTTCGTTACTGATAAGAAAAGCGAATGGAAATATGAGATGAGAAGAAGATGTTTAAAATAAAATTAGTTTTTCGATGAAATGCGTTTTCTCATGCACTGAGGTGAATTATTTAACAGTAAAAACAACACGTCGAGAAATCGATTCATTCCTGGTTGCTCATAAATAAGACACAGATTTCATTTCGAACTTCAATCGAAGTATTCATATAGTCATGTGCAGTCTAGTGAGCAGTTCATTTTGATATTCTAAAGTCTCTTCTTCAATTTGAATATAGCAAGTATGTGCATTTGGGCATTTAAAGCAGTTTTCATTTTTTTTATTCATGTTAATTATGTTTTTTTCATCAAAATAAATTCATTCAAGAGTTTATTGTTTCCATTTTTGGCATAACTTGCTCTTATTTTCATTTCCAATATTTTTTCTTCTTTACTTTCCACAGTGCCATCAAATTCTGTTACCAATGGAAGTAAAGGCCTTGCCCGAATGTCAGTCAGTTTTGATACCAGAATACCTTTTGTACGACTTCTGAAGAGCGTCCAAGGCAAATCGAAACCGTCGAAATATAACCGAGTGCTACCACAAACGCGATCGATTTGGTACATCTAGTTCTAAGTTAAGTTACCATCGTATCAGTATACCAGCCCTACTACCAGTTTCGATTTTTAAGCAGCACCAAAACAACTGCAAATATCCAAGAATATTTAGTAATAAAACCATACTTGTGCCACTTTGTAAGCCACTCGGCATCATGAGACTGATGTGAAAATATTAGATATTAAATAAGAAAGAAACACACCAAAACTTCATTTTTCCATATATATTTCGATTTAATGTGTCAAAATATCGTATATTTCTATGCTAAATAAATGATTTAATTTGTTACTAAAAAGATTGTTTGAGCAATATCACAGTTTAAGAAACTGTCTAATGATGTCTAATGCGGGATTTTTCGTTCACATTGTCAAAATTCAATGAGTTCTTCACCATCAAATGATCAGTGCTGTAGTCGAGAATAGCGGACGAGCAATCATCTGCCGTGTTTGTTGTCTTCAAATCCCGTTTGTGTTTGGCCTTTGTAAAGGCTTTGTCATATTCAATTTCCATGAAAACACGTTTTTTGTCATCTTCACCACTGTCCGTGGCCAAAGTTGCGTCAGTATATTCAATTACACTAACTAGCTGATCGAGTGTATCAGCCGATCTGCTTTGATTATTGTCATCCATAATAAAAATTTCGTTTTTGCCACTTGATGAACCACCGCTCATACAGCTCAGATCTTCAATCTTAGCCACTATCGTCTTATTTCGTTCGTGAATATTTGAATGCCGCTTCAGATCACCTCGAACTCGGAATCGCTTTCCACAAACATCACATACAAACGGTTTTTCACCTAAAACGAATCATTTGGTTTAAGTTTGATGTTGACAAAGTTCAAATCGCTTTCAAACTGAATTTTAAGTTCACATTTTCTACTGTTTCATATATTGAACTATTTTACCTGTGTGAATCTTTCGATGCACCTGCAAATACGAACTCGCTCGAAACTCTTTGTCACAAAACTCGCACTTGTAATTCTTTTCGCCCGTGTGAATGCGCCGATGTATCACTAACGAATAACGGCGTGCAAAGTCTTTTCCACAGAATTCGCACTGATGACTCTTCTCTTTGGTGTGCTTCGATTGAATGTGATACTTTAGATCACCCCATTGCCGGAATGGACGATTACAAAATTCACAATTATAAGGCTTGTCTCCGCTGTGCAAACGCTTATGAACCTAGAAAATTTAGCAGAAAATCGATCAAATTATTGACAAATTCTTAATGAGACCATTAATTTGATGAATTCTTATGTCAAACCCAAAATTACCTTCAATGCACTGCTGGCAAAGAAACTTTTTCCGCACTCGTTGCACTGGTGTGGGCGTTCGCCAGTATGCGATAAGAAATGATAATGAAGGGCATTCTTCGAATTACACAATTTGTTGCAACGTTTGCAACGATAGATTTTCTTTTTCTTCTTTTGTGCATCCAGTTTAGATGGGTCAACATCACTGTCCGTTTGCTCTTCTTCGATGAATTCATCTTGAATATTCACTTTAGATGCTGTCGATCCAGTCGATTCAGACGATTCTGTCATAAAGGTAGACATGTCACGTTCCATTGAAATAACACTAGGCTTCACTTCATTTTGATCGAATTGATTTTGATTTGTTGTATTCACTGTATTCTCTTGCCTAACTAACTGTCGCCGAAGAATGCCTGAAATGACGCATATAAATCCGTTTGAATTTAGATGTTTGAGTGAAAAGATTCATTAAAATGAAATATTTGTTTTTCTCTCAGAAAACATTTTCCTTCGCATTGAATGCGACGCATTCACTTACTTTCGGTTGAAGTATCGTCCATAGTGGGAAAATCCTCATTGATCTCATAAATCAGTGTCAATTCTTCGGGCCGTTCAATCACCGGCTGATTATTAATAATTTGATTCGGTGTCGTTTGTATCGTTCCCTTCCCTTGATTATTCGACGTTATAACAAAATTACTCGCTTCGTTCATATTTCCCGTTTTACCCATCGTGTACACCGTATTATTTGATAGATTATGCGAATTATTTGAAGCAGTCCAGCCGCATGAGTTATCCACTAGGCTTGAATGATGTTGATTTTCATTCATGTCAATTAAATTTTTCACATCACTTGTCCCGTTCTCAATGTACGAATCAACGACCCGCTGCACTTTATCCAAAACACCATTTTCCAGCATATCTTCTGTATCGCTAAATTCATTTTGTTCCGATTTGATTCCACCATTTATCGATTCGTCATCAGTCACATCCTCGTTGCCAATGCCAGAGATGCAGCTAAAATCCTGTTCATTGTTTTGCAATCGTACGAAATTATCGTTCATAATCACTGGGGCAGCCATTGGTTGACTCGAAATACATTGATTTGAACTCATTTTCCGTTCATCATTCATCTGGAACATATTTTGATCATTTTGTTCCAGAGCTAAAGCAGTGGCATTTCGAATGGTTTCCATTTTATCGCAATTCTGTTGATTTGGCACGGTTTCAGGTTCATAATGCAATTTCAAATGATTGAAAAACGCCAACTGACTTTGGACGTGCATGCCACAGATTTCACACGAATATCGTGCGGCTTGAATCGTTGGCTGAGCTTCGGAAATTGGCATCTGTTGCAACTGAACTGAATGTATTGAACTCGTTGCATCGGCAGCATTGGCAAAATGATCCGATTGAATGTAGTCCGTTTGGTTGACAGCCTGATTGACTCGAGGCGTTGTCAATTGAATTGGTTGCTGATTTAGCGTTAGATTCAACGTTTCATTTTGTTGATGGCTTGAAACCGAATATGATTGGTCATGATGTGATTGTCTCTGCAAATTGGCCATGTCATGGTGCATATGATACATTGAATCTACGGCCTGCATTTGATCCACACTTGGACTGATACTCTTCAACTTTTTTGTTATCCGCTTCTTGTGCGGCAAATTCTTTTTCGGGCCAATTGATTGAGATTGTTCTTTAATTGATTGTCGATTGATTAGCTTCATATTTGATTGAACGAAATCGACGTCGTCGTCGTCCGTTACAAAGCACACATTCTTCAAGATTGTATTGTTTTTAGGCAGATTCATTGAGGCACTTGAGTGTGCGGCAGATTTATACTGCATCACTTGCTCTTGATGCTGTTCGATCGATGTTTTTCGCATCGCTTGCAGCTTTGATATCGGCGTTAAAGGCGGCAATGGTGGAAGGGCCTGCAAATATGAAACGGTTTTTTTTCCAATTGATGTGAAAAAACTTGATTTTAATAAAAATTCATATTGTAAATTCAACTTGACTCGGAAATTCACTTGAAAACTGATTTTATGTCTTACATTTGCTTGGATTTTCTCATCTAAATCGCTATTCATCCGATCGGTATTGGTTTTCGTTATATCTTGTAGTACAGTCTGATCCATCTGGCTGAATGTGTTCACATTTTGAAAAGAATGACTCAAATCCAAATTCATAGCCATCGCCGTTGCTTCCTGAAAATTAAATGGGAAACAAAATCTTGATTAGATACTTATTTTCATTTGAGAGTATATAAGAAATATAAAGAATTTTTGAGTGAGAAAGATAAGAGCTCTCATTTTGAAACGAAATATCTATCTAAACCTGGAAATAGTAGATAAATATGACATCAACGATACAAAAAAAGAGCAATAAGACAACGTTACCTTATTCGAAACAATGACCGGAGCTTCATTGGTTAAAATATACTGTCGACCATGTTCTTCGATGATAACTTTTCGGCCTTCTTCAATATTCGAATTGGATTCAAAGTGATTTCGATGGTTCAAATGCTCCGCCGACATTGAGCTATGGCTCGGATGCATCGAATGATGGATATTTTCCATTGGAATTTGCACATTTTCATTATTCGCGATAAAGTGTCTTTCTGTCGTCATTTCCAATGGTGATGCATTCTGTTCGATCGCAACGCTATTATAAATATTATGTGATGGTATAGCCGCTTGTTGATCATGCGGTTGTTGTATGATATCAACAACAAGTCCATTTTGTATGTGGGCGGCGATATAATCAGGTGACAATAATGCCTAGTCATTGAGAAGGAAGAAAGAATCACATTAAATTTCCACAACATTTTCATCACTTTTCGAAATATTTACATGGTCAATATATTCATTTTCTGTATTCCTCGGAATGGTTATAAAGTGTAATGTGTTGCCTTCAATTCCTCTTAAAACGCTTGAATTCAATTTATTCGCGTCTCCCTGCAATTAAATCACAATCAGTTTAATCGTCAAAAACACATTTCCTCCTAACATTTAATGTTGTCTCTAGTGATGTTCAAAACATCAATATTTTCCGGGCAAAATCAACAACCTGAAATTGGCTCAAATCCATCCTTTCCAGCCCGTTCCGATGCATATTCATATTTGGGTCCATGACGTCCGCTGTACAAAAACAGAACATAGAATAAAAACTTATGTAATGACACTTCGTTGGCAAGTCGAAATTTGTTCACAAATCAACAATTTTCACATGGATTCACCGGGATGCCCACAAATTGTACAAATGAAAGTGTAAATAAAAACAGCGAAACAAAAACAATAAATACGGCGGTATACAATTTAATAAATGGCAACGTCGCAATCATAGCATGGAGAAAAATGCATGTGTCAATTCACTTACGAAATGCTAACAAATAAACACACCGAATTTCTTTACTCTTAAAATGTTTTTTGATCAAATTCTCGGGCAATCACTTTGTGTCATTTTTAAATATTCACACATTTTGTTCACATTAAATAATAAAATTGAATTTTATGTCAACAAAATTGTTCATGTAGAACCAATTGATGTTTTATTGTCAACGCAAGTTGAGAAATACGCTTACATACGCTGTGAGAGAGACAACACCAAAACAAAGAGCATCGAATGGAAACTTGACAGCGTTGTAATAAATGGCGGTGCATACAAACAAATGCTATTTCATTCAATGCAGCTGTTCGACGCCAGAGTGCGACTCTTTCAATGCTTTCAATTCGAAAGGCGAATTTCATTGAATGAATCTCTTGAATGGATATTCATACTACGGGAGTTACACTTACGACTTGTTTGTTATGAAAATATTTTTGTTTTGTTTTGTTTTTGTTTATCAATAACTTTTTACTTTTTGGCTCAACTTTGCATGAAGATGGTATAAAAACGAAGGAGTTTCAATGGAACGTTTTATTCGACGTGTTGTTGGATCAAAACAAAAAATACGACTGTTCACACCAATTCCTGGCACTCACAATTTCACTAGTCATTTTCATTGAATCGATGAACTTTTATTTTTATTTTTAAATTCTAATTTAAAACTAATTAGGTTTAGAGTCTACGGTTGATTACAAGACATTTTGGCGGCGAAATTTGCATTTTGTATGACAGTCAATCCATACGAATGGACTTGAACCGAAAGCAAAAGTGAATTTCACAGGTTCTCACACAAAAGGTCAGTCGGCAGCAGGCCGAATAAATGCATAAATTGTAGAGTGAATTGTTTTGGTTTCGATTTGTCGAACGAAAATAAGTCGTGTGGAATTTTTTTAATGTGCTTCCTATATTTGATTAGCACATTTTTATCGGTTACTGATGAACTAATTAACTTTCTGTTGTCTCCCAAGAATTTTTTTTTCCAACATGATTTCGATCAAGTTCTTCAAGGCAATAATGGTATTTAAACGGTTTCATCCGAAACACTCATTCAATTATCTTATTTCTTGAGAATATGAATGATCTTTTATTCAGCGAACAGTGGCGTTCGTCAAAATAGACGAAATTCGCCAGTTGATTGTATGTCTGCTCATACGTTTCACGTCTAATGTCTATGTATAATATGTACATTGTACAGTGTATACAAACTTACTCAAGCTCTGAACGCATTCAACTCCTTGTTTACATGCGGAAAATTAAATAAACATCCTTGCGAGTCCTCGAATGCAGCTCAAAATATTTTCAATGGAAATTCATTTTTTTAATGTAAGCAATGACTTGATATTTGGAATGGATGGAAAGTATTTTACTGGGTATTTTTGAATTGCTTTAAGGATGGATTGGATTGAGTGGTAGAAATAAAAGCGAACAAAAAATGACTTTTGATGAATCATCTCGTCGAATCAAATATGACTTATGATGGTATAATTTATTGAAAATTCATGCAAATTTGTTTAATTTTCAACATATCTGATCGAAATCTGGACGAGAAATTGAAAAAAAATTAAGTAAGTGTTTTTTTTCTGCAGATTTATAAAAAATAGTCGTATATATTTTGTTTATTTCAATCAAATAAATTGGAATGTCATTTACAATGTTTCACATATATATTCCAAGGAATGTTACACACTCCTTATGTCGCTTACGTACTAATTTAACATGTCTTTTTTTGCTGTATCGTTTGAATCAAAAAGCAAATTCGTTGGAGATGAAAAGAAAAAAAAAACTTGATAAAAGTTATGCAAAAAGTAACCTGTATCAGGTGTGTACACACTAAAAAGTTCATACTAAGTATGACCTGTTAAAAATAATATCTGATCGTTTTTTTTTTCATAATGGTTGAGCTCTTCGGCAATGTATATGCACGTTGCTATTAATAATAGAAAGGGAAAAGAAGAAAATGAAAATATTAATCGTGTAATTTCGTCAGAAGTCGTTCTAAAAAGTGTAAAAAAACAATTGGACGGGTTAACAAGTGTCCTGTTTTGATCGGAATGGTATTGTTTTCTCTATTTGGTAGATTTGATTCTAAATTCTTTTGGCATTCAAGTAGTTAAAGGCGGTTTTGTTCAAGACAGACTTGATTGGAATGAGTGGCGGTGGTGATTTGGCCAATTTTCGCTTCGTGTTTTCGGAAGAACCGTTGCTTTTTGCGTTGCTATTTGGCCGATGAACCGTGGTAATGTGATTCATGAGATTTTCAGTGCCTCGACAGATGGTCTTGCATAATGGGCATTTGTGTAAACTGGGTTGAAATTGCGTTGGTGTTTTTGACGGCGTTGCCAAGGGCGATTGTCCGGATTCGGTCAATGCCATCGATTTAAAGGACGTGGCCGAAGTGAATCCGTTTTGTTTGCGATGTGTAATCAAGTGTTTCTTGAGTGTGCTCATCTCACGAAACGGGCGCTTACATTCACTGCACTGGAACGGTTTTTCACCAGTGTGGATCATAATATGGCGCTTCAGATTTGAGCTGCTGCCAAAGGTTCTATCACAATATTTGCATACGAAGGCTTTTTTATTGTTGGCATCGTTGGTGCGCGGTGCAAGGTCATCGGAGATTGAATCTTGATATCGTTTGGTTGTTTCCTGTTTCTCGCACGAAACACACTTGTTCGAGTGGCGACTGGATGGTTGATTACGATTGCATACCGAACATCTGGCGGTCGATGAGTTGTTGTGAACCTTCTTATGTTTTCTCAAGTCACTTTGTTCACGAAATCGCCGTTTGCAAATGTCGCATTCGAATGGTTTTTCACCTGTACGAAATTGGAGGAGAAAAAAAACGAAACACATCAATTTATTATTAAATACCCAGAAAGCCTTGACTTGAAATTGCGGTTTTACCGCTCTTTCTGTTCGAACTTACCGCTGTGAATCATCTTGTGACGTTTCAGATTATAGCTACTGGATAGTTTACTGTGACAAATATCACATGAATACATTTTTTGTTCGGTTAAATTGTCAGAAGGTTCGTGGGTAAGGCCTCCGTTGCTATTTTCATTAAAATCATCGTCACTATCGTCGTGGTCACCGTCGTTGTCGTCATCGTCATCGATTAGTATCACATCACTGTCGCCCGTTGAACTGTTCAGCGGTAGCGATTTTAATTGGGAATTGTCAAACCAAATGGTTTGTGGTTCACTGTGATTCGACATCACTTGATAAGCTAATGCAGATAAGAGAAACGGGAAAATAATTATCGCATTCGATTTTTATTACACACGAAATCAAAAAATAAACTACTTATGCTTTGTTTTGCTCACACATACCATATTCATCGAATGGCTCATCGTCATCGTCGTCCATATTGTTCAAATGGAATGGATTTGGATGGTGGGCTGCCAGTCCTGCTGCTGCTGCTGCTGCTGCTGCTGCTGCCTCATCATCACTGTACTCACTGAAATCATCGTCTTCGTCGCTATCGTTGAACGGCAATTCCGGAACGACTTCAATCAACTCGGCCTGCAAATCTGATTCATTCATATTGGAACGATTTTTTATCACTGACATGTCGGCCGATTTCAACGAAGCGGAAACAGCACTGTGTGCACTTTTATTTGTTATTGAGGTCATTTTTTTCGTACGTTCGTTCGTTCGTTCGATTGCTCACTCGATCGTCAAGAGAGTGTGTGTTGTGTTTTTTTTTTTGAACAAATGTTGTTGTTGTAATTAGTACACACAGCCCGTGCAAGTTGCACATGCAGAGCAGAGTAAGAAAAAAAAATTGAATACGTGACACTGCGATTGGCCAGCAACGCGAAAAAGTTCACTTAATTTCCACTTGTGCACTCAGCGAACGCTCTTTTTTCTTTTCGATGATGATTATTTTGTTTGTCGGACTTTAGCGCTCGATTCGAATGCAACCACTGAGGCCGAATTACGAAATGTGTCGAACCATTGCGTATATTTTGCGCGATTCCCACTTTGCAGTCTCTCGCTCTCTCACTCGGTTACCGTCCGTCGTGTTGTTCGTCGTCGTCGTTGTTCTCGTCGTTCACCGCGGTTGTCGACGTCTCACTCGGTGACTCAATAATGAGTGGTAGGCTCGTGCGAATGAGATCGATTGGCGTATGGTTACTTTCACAAAGTAATTTAAATGTCAAAATAAAAGGAAACGGCAAGGTCGCTCGCTCGACAACAACACACATATGTGTGCATACAAAACAACCACAACAACACCAACAACTTTGTCGGACTTTACTAACTTTTTTTTTCCTCTCTTTCGTTTCGTTTCTCGCGATTGCCCAATAATTCGCTCACTCACTCGTTTGTCGCCGCGATGGTCGTGTGTGATGATGATGGTTTTTTTTCTGCTGATTTGCTCTTCTCGTCTTTTGGTCGTGCACTTTTTGGATGGAATTTCAATCATTGGAACAAAACATCACATGGAATGTCAAATGAACAACCTATTTTCACGGAAACACCGTCCGCTCATGATGCAGTCGCACGGCGGCCGATACGTGTGTGTATTACTTCTTTTTTTTCTTCTTTTTCGCTCGTCCCATTCGATTCGATTCCGATGTAGTCAAGTGGAAAGAGAGACGAGTCGCACTCATACACACGAGCAGCCAAAAACTCAACTCTGTACTGCAGTAGATAAATCAAATATCGTAAACACTTGACCAATATTTTGTCTCTCTTTCACATCAGAGATTGCGATTTGAAAATTGTGTGTAGGCTGAAGATTGACACTGACCGTCTCTTCAATTGGCAGTTCGTGGTCATTTTCTTAATTCGGCGAAACAATGACAATAAAAAAAACTGTGCAATGTGTGAGTATAAAATGCTAAAGTGCACCAAATATTAAAAAAGAAGAGAAAATTGCAAATGTTGACTAACGAATGTCTTTGCTGAACTCACCTCAACTCACCGGCATAAATTCAACAACTTTGACATTTAACGCTACCAACATGACATCAATGAAACTCGTATTTTTTTTTTATCCCGAATGTCAAATCACAAAAGAGTTTTATATCCACAAAACAAACTCAATTTTCATTCTGAAAAAATACCATTTTTTCCGTGATTTTGTCCAATTAATTCGTTCCTAAAAGTGTTGTTCGTAACAAAAATTCATTCGATTTATAAAATATGTAATCATCCCGGTTGATTTGCAACGGAAAAACAACGTTTGTTTGGTGAAAATTTCTTTGTTTACTGCTTTGTGAGATTTCAGACGACGAGAAATATGCACTCGAATTACTTCATGTACACGATTCCATCGAACGGAACACAAACCAATGTCATTTCAAATGTAAGCAATGTGAAACCAGGATTAGCCACAGTTACCCACCATCAACAAAACGCAACAATAACGAATCAAGCGGCTGTCCAACGAACCAGTGCCATATCACAGAATGCAGTACATCAGACGGCAAATGCTCACCACACCACCACCACCAACAGCCAAGAGCTAGTGCCGCCCAATGATCACATGTGTCAAATTTGCTGCCAGCGATTTCAAAAGTCGAGCAGCCTGAAGAAACACATGCGAATCCATCAGGCCAGTTCACGTGACAGTGATAATAGCCCGTACAAGTGTAACGCGTGTAAAATTGACTACCTTAATGTCATTGCCTTTGAAGAACACATTAAAACCGAACATGGCCAACCACAAGCATTCAAATGTATCGATTGTGGATGCTTTCGGGCGGTGGAATTAACATCAACACAACCATTTCGATGCGAAGGATGCGCTCGACGCAAATCACAACCGTTCGAATCGTCTGGTGCGGTTAACTATCGTATTACCTCAACTCAAAATGCAACTAGTTCACAATTGGTGCATGTGAATCATGTGAAAACACCGAAACTCGACTTGGACTCACTCGTTCAAACCATGCGAACTGGGAATGAGAACAACGGCAGTGGACGACGACGAAAACTACATCAGTGCCCCGATTGTAACAAATGCTATAAACATCAAAGCACTCTCGCCATGCACAAGAAAATACACACAGGAGAATTTAAATATAAATGTCAATATTGCCAAAAGGAGTTTTACCTTGCCGAATATTATAATAGGCATATGAGGTGGGTTTACTTAACTAATGCTGCATTTTATTTTTATTTTATTTTTTTGGAAAAAATAATTCAACTATTTCTCTCTCTCTTTTAGAGTTCACACAAAGGAAAAGCCCTACCAATGCGATGTATGTGATAAAGCGTTCTCACAGTCAAACACACTCATTCAACATAAGAGAATCCATACAGGTTTGAAATGAAATCAATTTTTACCATTTTTCCATTGAGACTTTGTATTTTTTTTCGAAAAAGTTTTTTTATCGAATTTTCTTTTAATTTTCAGGCGAAAAACCATACGGATGTACGATTTGTGGTAAGGCCTTCAGCGTTCGTGATTACTTGTTGAAGCACATAAGGTGAATATTTATCCAAGACGCGGTTTTTTTTGAATGAATTGAGCTTTTTGAATGTATTAGTCTTCAATTTTAGGTTTTTTTCTTTATTTTCCATTTTTGATCGTCCAATTTCCATTTTCGAGATTTATTCACTCTTGCTGTGAATATTGCATTGAAATATAACGACTATTTTCGAATTTTAGTCCTTTTTTCATTTGAAAAAGTTGGATTTAAAGAAAAATTGTGATTTTTTCAAAATTTCTCAATTTTTTTTATTTTTTTTGAATATTCATTACTATTTCTTTTGACTATCTATTCTTTAACAATTTTCCTCATTTATATCCCTTTATTAGAGTCCACACCGGAGAGAAGCCATTCGAATGTGAATTATGCGGTAAGTTTTTTTTATTTTTCATTTTTGATCGTCCAATTCTCATTTTCGATGTTTTTTTACAGGTAAAAAGTACACCCAACGGAGCGGATTGAAAAGTCATCAAAAGTCTCATTACCCTGAGCCGGGTATGCTGAATGGATCTCAATCACAATCCCAAGGTCAGATGCAGCTGCACAATCTAATCTGAATATTCTGACCACTGAAAATTTACCGGCACACTGAAATGAGTTGAAATCATTTAATTCGTATGAACACATAGTATGTTACTTAAATACTCGCTTCGAAAATAAGAAAAATAATTTGAATAAAAAGACATCATCCTAAATAAACAAATTCGAACAGTTATTTCTAAAATATGATTTTCATTACTTGTCGAAAAAAATTCCATATTGAATGCATTGTGATGGAAAGATAAATAAAGAATTCTTATTGAAAACTTGAACCACAGTATATTCGCACAGTTCCTGGACAGCCCTGCGTTGAATCGCCAAAATCAGCTGTCACTTTCAATGTTGACGTTTTATTTGTTATTGTTGTGTACCAGTAGTGTTTCTGACGCGTATGTTCTCTGTGTCGTATCAAACAAAAGTGAAATCAAAATACAATCGCATTGCAAAACAAATACCTTATCTGCATATCAAATACCTCGAATTTGAGTGACTTAGCTGAAAATTGTCTAAAGACTTGAATTTTGTTTAAATTGTTCGAAATGGCTGAAGAAGTGAACACGGACACGGATTCGTTCAATCAAGATTTTACGACGGCAACGCGATGGGAAGTGTTCTGTGCCCGTCTCGAGGAGATAATCCACGATTGGAAGCTTCCATACAAGAAGCAAAGTGCTGGCAAACTGCCACTCAACGCTTTATCGGTGAATGATTGGGAAACGAAGGAGGAATTGGTCACTTACGACGGAATGGAATTGAAGGTCACGTTGTATACAGTCAAATTGGCTTCGGACAAACAAGACGATCTCTCACCGGAATCGGGCAGACGAATGTCAGTGGACGTTGCGGAAAGAGCAATCATTGAAAAATCGTCGCTTTTAAGCATCAATTCTGAGTGTCCAGCCTTTGTTGATTTAATGTCGTTGGAGAATAATTGGTGCACATTGGATGAAAAATCCAATTTGAATATTCATCCACTTGCCAGATGGTATGGACTGAGGCAGTTTGTCGTTATTTCCACGGTCGGTGGTGCAACGATCAATGAAAATCAACGTCGCATTTTATTGTCATCAATTCATTTGGCCATTGGCGAAACAAACATTTCGGTTCCGGTTTTTGTACAAGCGCTGAAATTTCAACAACATGTTTATTCAGGTGAATTGAATTTGATCGTCTGAATTTTGAGTTCTGCTTAATTTTTTCTTCAAAAGGAAATTATTTTGTCCCGTCATGAACATAAACAGTGTTTTCCTTCGCTAAACTTTCTCTTTCATCCCCTTTTGCAGGTGTTTGCGAGCAGGAGAACACTCGAGTGACCTTCGACATTGTGCATCTCGCCCAAACGCATCCATCGTGCAAATATTTGTCGGGAATCCTTGACATGTTCAAAGAGAAGGTTCCATATGAATACAAAATTCCGGGAACAGTGTCTGTGCGTTTTACATACAATTTGAAAAAATTCCCCGAATCTGCGTTTGTGTTGAAACGAAAGTTTCCATTTTCCGATCGTCAAGACGATGTAGTTGAGATTCGATCGAATACCATTTTACCGTTTGGTGTTTCCGTCGATCCGGTTCGTGAGCTCGTGCTCTATTGCAAATGGCTTGAAGTGGCCGAAAATGTGGTTATGGACTCTCGAAACTACAGTGATTTCGATCCAATGCTATCGCAAACATGGTCATTCCGGTTGCACTATGAAGCCGTGCCAAACTCATTTATGCGCGAGTGTTTGTTTGAATTTTTGCAACAGTGCGATTCGACGAGAACATTGGCCGATTTAATTGGTGCTGAATACGCATATTCGGCCACTAGTGAAATTGCAAGCCGCGACGATTCAAATCCATTGGAACGATTGACTGTGTCGAAAATTTCGAAATTAACAACGTCAGTGCTTTCGGCAGCACTTTCGGGTGAGAGTTCACAAGCGAAGAAATCGATGAAGAAAGGCAAACCACTTGAAGGCCCATTGAAAGATGAACAATTGATGGCTATGCTCTACTTTTTGTTCCCCGATGCTCAAGACAATTCAGCGAATTCTTATAAAATGCCAACCACGGATAATGTAAGCATTTTTGCCAATCGAATTCATACAATGAATTTCAGAGTCGTGATTTCAAGGTCACAATTGAATAACAATTTTTGCATCCGAGTTATGACTATTGTTATTTGGAAGATTCATATGAGCTAAAAAAAATTCACTTTTCAGTTCGATCCATTACGTATTAAGTCAGCATTCGACGACTCACTCGTACATCGATTGTCAACAATGCTGGCCCTTTGTGGAACTTACCTCGGTGGTTTGCGAGCCATCGCTCAACTTTGGATTGAATTCGCACAGGAAATGCGTTATCGTATCGAGCGGAGCATTTTTATTTCTGGGTAAGTGCAACTTTACCTTTTATTCGTTTCCAAATGATCCAATGATCGTCCAATGTGAGAGATTTTCATTGGGATCTCCAAGAACAAAAAAAAAGAGCAAGCACTGGTTGCCAAGCACTTTTGGTAACATTCAACGCTTTAATGTAGAAAGCCAAAGACCAAAGAATCAAACATCAACATCGTTCAATATAAAGTAAAAATATGCGTTTATTTGGATTCTCTAATTGTGGTTTTTCAACAAAACAGAAGATAAATTGGTGTTGTTTTTTTTATTTCTTTTAAACATATATGTAAGTGTTAGCAGCTACGTCACTCCGTGCTGAGATTTTATACAATTCATAAATGTGTTACATTGCACCTAACAATTGAATATATTATGCGATTTTGTTTGTTTATTTTTTTTGTATATCGGTGTATCTCTACGTGCGTTAACATATATGTATATATGTCTAGAGTGTACGCGAGCTCAACCTAATCTAAAATATTGTGTTCAAATAAATTCTTTCACGCTCTTGCTCGCACTCTTTCGCGAATTTTCTCGTTCGTTTTCTGTCACTCCTTTTATTTCACCAACACTCTCTGATTCTTGCACTCTCGTTCTCTTCGTTCGCAACATCTCTTTCTCACATTCTCACGGTCTTCGGCTAAGAATCTTTGCACTAAAACCTATTTTTGCTTGATGACAAATTCGCCACACTTCAATTTCCGTTATCGATTGAAACCATTGATTTTTTTTTTTTGAATTGCCGACCGAAAAAAAAGTGCTCAATTCTCGTGCAATTTTTTATACTTGCATCTTCTTTCGATAAACTATGCTCCGATTGTGAACGAAATTGGTGTGATTTTTTGCGAGGGCACTACAATAATTGATTTAAATATATATCTAACACAATGAAATAATCGCTATATTTTGAATACTTATTTAAGGCATTTTATGTTTTCAATTTGTATCGCAATATGCAAACGTGTTTGTGAGTGTGTTTGATTTTTTTTGTGTGTGTCTACAAAGGAGCATCTCTGAATGAAGCTAAAGTGATTTTCTTTATTGCTGGTTTTGTTATTGGTCGTGCTGTTACTTTGAAATACAAACGGAAATACTGTGTGTGTTTGTGTGCTGAACGAATTTTCTTTAAACTCTTTTTTTTGCTAACATTTTAATTACTAAATTTTGGAAATTGTCAATCATTCTGTTTGAAATAGAAAATCACGCCGATACAAACTCTATTTGCCACTTTATTTCATACGAATTTTTGACCCAGTTGACTCGTCGTTGATTGATCCCATTATTTTTTTCAATTAGAAATCGTGTCTATTTCCACATTGTATCAACTAGGTTCTATGTGATAGGCCTACAATCTAATTGTTCGAAATGTAATTGTTTACACTCATTCTGTCTAGCCTAAGTTTTCTTTTTTCATCTTAACCATTAGGAAGTTACTATGTCTAAATTTGATTAGCCTATATATGTTTTCGTTAACTGTGAACTGTGTTTTTGGGCATCTGCCGTTGATGCGGATTTCTGATGATTCTGTCGTTTTATTCGTTTCTAAATGCATTGCATATTTAAAAAAAAAATCAGTGGAATTTTCAGCAGCTGATGTCACGTGAAACCTTGTCACTACGAAAAAGCCAAAGAAGATTCTCTCGGCCGAACGGAGAAGGCTCTTAGCAAAACAAAGTGGGTTTTAATTGGAAACCTGGTGCTGGTGGTGTGATGAGACGACCAATCGTCAAAAATCCACATGCAGATCCGACCCATTTTCAAAAAATCGCTCGAAATAATAAGGAAATTGTTTTTTTTTTCTAATAAAAAAACAAACGAATTTTTTCTTTGTTACAAATAATTGCTTACACACTAAATCGTTAGTTTTTCAACTTCAATGTTTCAACTATTCACTAGTTTCATAGACTCTAGTATAATAATCATCTCTGTTTGTTTTGTTCTAATAATAATAATTCAACGTATGTGCGCGCGATCGTAATCGTTCCATTTGATTTAGCTTGTATGTACAGATGGAGAAGCAAATCGATATGATTCCGTGTCTCTCATAAAATTATGCTATTCCAATGCTTTTAATGCTTATATGTATATATAGATTTATTTAAATTTCTATAATAAGTTTGACATAAGATTCATCGTCATTCACGTTTCGTCGCCCATTCTATGCCAATAGCAACCGCAATTCCAATCGACAATCGACGGCGGAATTGTGCTCGTTGCCAATGTTGACTATTAGGATCCGGTGAAACACAATTTGATTATATTGTTCATATACTTGTTTCTATGTTACAATTCTAATTAAACTACGTTTAGGTGATTTTGTTTATGGCCTATTATGACAAAAGACAATAATATTTATGCGTGTGTGTGTGTGTGAAAGTGTTTGTTTGTAGTTTTGAAATTACAAAAGAGAACCAAATCGCGAAAATTAAACGGGGGAATTTCGCCTTCGAAATCTGCATTCAACATTTCACTTATGGAATATTTTGATTCGTAACTCATGAATGAAGATTCTTGAATAAAGATTCTTGATACAACATTTGAGTTGTTTCACACTTTCAAATTGAGTCGATTGACTTTTAACTCGAAATGCTTTGAAAGTCGTTTCATTCAGAATGGTTTGAATATTGATTGAATTTTCCATGAAATTCGATTGAAATTTTCTATTTGAAATACGATGATCTGGTCTATTTCCACATGAATCAGAATCCATGTAAAAAAAAATCATTCGTTGGATTTAAAAAAAAAAAAGAACTTTTTCGTCACTGTATCTAAAGTATATTCGTATTTTTGTTGTTGCTCCATTGACGACAACTTAAGACTATTTACATGAATCGGCCAAATTTTCGAATGCGTTTGCATTTTGATACAATACAAACCACCAGTAAATTTTCCATCGTTTTTTTTCTTCTTTCGTGTATGTTTGTTTAGCTCGATTGTAGCAGTCTTTTGTCGTTGAACAAAATGAAATTTATACGTAAATTCAATATATATGCAATTAATACAACGTATAACATGTTTGGCACTGTGAATGTATGTGATTTCCCACTACATTTTCTCTTCCCTATCCCAAATAATGTTCATTTAATGTCTCGGTCTCTGTCGTTCTTCTTCTCGATCAAGTACGAATTGGTGTTATGCCTTGTTTCAATTTTGGTCGCAATTAAAATATCATATTCAACTTATGTATCAATTTAAATTATTATCATATTTTTTAACCGTTTTTTTTTCTCTTCTCTTAACCATTTTTTTCCCTATCGAATTGGTGGTTCTTTTTCAACTGACGCAAAAACAAAGAAAACATTTTTTTACGGAAAATATTTTGAAATTCGTTCTAAAGAAAATGTAACAAATCGATGATTGGCTCTTATGACGATCTAAGCAGTATAAAATATTAATTTCAATGATATTCAATGAATTGAGTTGAATTCCTTGTTTGTTTGTTTGTTTAGTTTTGTTTGTTAACTATGTGTCTGTGTCTCTTATAATATTGAACTCAAACAACGTCCACATCGATCTAATAAAATGCATGCGTGCATATTGCGTTTTTTCTTGCCTTTAACTAACTTTGAGACACATTTTTGCTCAAATTCATTTGTTTATGTACAATTTTGACTTAAATCAGCAATTCTACGTGTTTTTTTCTTTTTTAATTCTTGTTTTGGTGGAAAATTTCGATACTTTCTTTCTTCTCATATACACAACGAAAAAGAATTGTTTGCAATTGTCTAAATATATATGTTAAATTGGCTAATCTAAAAAGGGTTTTGAAGAAATCTGTTCCTTACCACAATAAAATCGATTAGAATATTCGTTTTTTTTTCTTTTCTTGTTTGTTGATGTTTTTTTTTTCTTGTTTAAATGTAAGTTTCGTTAATTGTATCGTTTATTTGATTCGGACGACGTCCTCGATACACTTCGATTGTATTGATGGTATTGTGTGGATCGTAGTTGGTTTTGGTTTTTGTTGTGCGCACATATTGAAAACAGCATTCGGTTTCGCTGTAGCTAGTTTCGATAATGTGCATCACTTGTAGTCCAGCTGGAATACGATTGAATAAATACAGTGCTAGTTCATTGCTTTCGTTGCCATTTGGACCGGTGATTGTGGATGGTGGTGGTGGTGTTGGTGAGGCTGAGGCGATGGTGGTTGTGTTCCTTGGTTGAATCAATGCTAATTGTTCTATTGATTGTGGTGATTGGGTTAGATATGGGTTATCGTTGACGGCAACGTTGGCATCGGCGTCGTTGTTCACTGGTCGTCAGAAAATTTCATGTAAATTATAGATTTTCAACAATGTATTCGTGTATCATCTGCATCGCAAAAGTTGGTCTCATAATGGCACCAAACCGTTACGTGTCGTGGCATTGCGTGTCATATAAATCTCCATGTCATGATCAGTCCAGTTGTCGGATGTATCGCAATAGTTGTTCAATGTATGAGTTGAGCCAGCCGTTGAGTACCTAGATATCGAACGAAAAAAGAAACAGATGAAATGAAATGAAAACCCAATTTGTCAGTCAGTTAATTGCAAATTGAATGAAGATGTTGGAACAAAATGGGACAAAGTTGGATGATAATAAGAAAAAAAATGAAATAAAACAAATTCGTACCGACTACTCGGGCGATGATGTGAATGAATATGGGCTCCATTCAATTGATCGCGTGATCGAGATCTCGGTCTAGTTCTACGACTTGAAACTACACTATGAGCAGCACCATGGATTCCAGATCCAGCGTATGATGCACGTGACATACGATCAGAGGCAGCTGCTAACGATTGTCTCGATTGACGCAATTCTATGGTTTTTTTTCAATACAAAATACACAATAATACACATCAACTGTCTATTTTTAGCTAAATGGAACGAACAAACTGCAAACAGAAAAAAAAACGCAACAACCAAAATCTACACGATTTCGTTATCACAACTAACCTGGTCGAGAATTAACCAAATTGCTTGGAAATGCCGAGTTGAGGTATCCACGATGCGAATGATTCGAGAAACTGTGTTGTGATTGACCATCAGCAATGGATCTATTTTAAGAAAATTCGTTCGATATTTTCATTTATTCATTCGAGTGAATTTCACATTTGACACAACACGAACATGAAATGAAGAACAGAAAACGAGAGAAAACTTTGTGAATAATGCAAAGACATAAAAAATGCAAAAAAACATAAAAAATGCAAGTAGAGACCATAATAAGCAAAATCATGCTCAAAAACCACCAAGTCATGCAAATAACAAAGCGACCTTTTTGACATATTCTCTCTCCCTCTCTCTATCGCAAAAAACACAAACCAAACCTCGTAAGAAAAGAAGTAAATGCTCTCACCTTGCTTTGGCAACCTTTCCGACCACACCGGAGAAATGTGATACATGACTTCGCATGTCATCGCCGATTATGCTTTGATTTTCCATTGGATAAATTCTCGGTCTTGGTATAGATCGGCCGCTGTATGCGCTCACTTGATCCCAATCCTATTGGGAGACGATGCAAAAAATAGACAGCAATGTTAATTACATTTGAATGGAAAATAGAATTTAAAATGTGGTACACACACAGCTTTTCTTGCTTAAAACTACACAATGATGACAACAATCTTAACTTCGTACACATCTTATGTAGTACACTCGCTCCACTCACGTTAATGACAAAATATGTGGTTAAACGTTTCTGTCGTACTGTTCATAACTCTATTATTTGTGATCCATAACATATTATGTCATAAACAATAATGTATGAGGTTTGAATCGTTTACTTTCTTGCTCTCTTTCTCTCTCTCACACACACTGTAAGTCCATGTCAATGACGTTATTTGTCTCCGTCGTTCGACGTCGAGTGCACTCACATTTACCTAATTATATAGAACACTCGACTGGTAAATGTGCTGAAAACGTCTCGAAAATAATTAGAGTGTAAACCCAATTCAAGCGCTAAGAACCATGTCTCTCTTTCGATGCCAACAATGTTGTTTGCTATGAATCTGCCCAATTTCATAGAGCGGGATAAAGTAAAGAGAGCAGCCACAACGATTGTCGCTTTTTTTTCGTCTTCTAGCCTTTCGCCAAATTGCATTCAGTTTGCATTTGGCACTTGCATAGAATGCTTGTTTCAGTTTTGGTTTTGTTTTTACTTTGTGACAAGCCAGAAAATTGATTCATTTGTGGCGATTGTTTTTTTCTCTCTCTTTCGTTTCTTTCGGTTTTTTTTCTCGATTCATTTGGCATCGACGGCTGACTATTGGAACGGAATGTCATTTGGTTCCGGCTGTAATTAGAGCGCTTTTTGTGTGGATGAGGAAAATAAACACTCGATTCATTTTTCATAGACCGACATTCGACAGCACAGTAAAAAAAACACAACTTTATTCGTTCATTTACCAGTTTTTTTTTTCTTTCTCTTTGAAAACACACTCACAGAAAAAAGAAAACAACAAAACGAAGTACAAAATTGATTAAGAATATGCTTTCATACACTCTATACGGATAATAGCTCAACTAATTGCTACTTAATCAGCTTTCTTACACGCTACAGTTTTCGCTCGTTCGATGAATGAATGAACACACATCCAAAGCGAACTGGTGCATCTCTAGCGCGCGCGCGCATTCTCTTCATTGAATTGCGAAATGTAATTTGTTTTGTGCCAAATGCTCGGCTAACTGTGTGTGTGTGTGTGTGTGCAAAAGCAATGCTGTGTGTGATTATTGAAGCTTAACATTTTTGGTATGCAATTTTAAAAGCAGAATCGTTTACACGAAAATCTGTGTGTGGATCACTATGAAAGAAGGCAGATAAGCCCTTTTCTTCTGGATAATCTAATTCATTTGCAATTCAATTAAAAACACTTAAACCTAACAAAATCGTCTCGAAATTGCTCGAGTGTTTGAATTGCTGTTCATCGACGTCATCGTTGTCGTTGCCATCGTCATCAACAGAGTCTATTTCAATTAAGCTAATAAAATTTGGTTTGGTGCTAAACAACTTTAATAAAATATGATGTCGAAAATGTGTAATCTATACGAGACTAGATATTGCTATGCTATATACGTATTAAAGCTTTGGAAGATCGAAACGTATTGGACGATGGTTTATCGATTCGAAGTGGTTGTCTGTCTGTCATTCACAATTGTGTACTTTTAACCTTACGATATCGACCGATTCGGCTGGTGAATGAATCATTTTTGATTACCTTGTGATGATTGAACGCGGATAATGTAGCAATTGAGCCCAATGGTCCTGGACTTCCATTCGGTCCACAACAATTCACCGGCAATCCAGAAATTGGTAATGGGCTCTTTTGCTGATTCAACGATTGCATCTTTCTCGATCGCCTTCTGTTTTGAAAACCGAAAGAAAAATAAAAGTCAAATTACATTCACAAAATCGAATGCTGCAATTGATGTCGGAAAATGACGTGCAATTTGGATGTAATTGCTTACCTTCCGGCCGCAATGAAAATGATAACAGCCACAATGATTGTTCCACATATTGCCGCACTGGCTGCTATTGTGATTTTATCCATGTTTGACGTTGGCGACGACAATGTTCGCACTTCTCGGCACTGTGAATACGGTACACTTTCCGGTGTCACATTCAATTCCTCCAATGAAATCACACACACCACAATGCACTCTTGTGGTGGAACGTTTTTAATTTTAAATTCACGTTCGCTCGCCTCCAACGGTGGACCTTGTTTGAAGCTTTTGTCAGCGAAAAGACGATAAACCACACGAAAACCGAGAATATTCGTTGTATCCGAATCCCACTGTATGATAACGGAATTGTCTTGACGAAAAGCGTTCTTCACTTGGACTTCTTTATCCTCTTCGGTGCGACTTGTTCCACGACCCGTTGGAAAACCAAGCACCAACGGTGGTCGCTGTTTTGCCGACGAATTCTGTCGCCAATTGTTATTGTTGCTGTTGCTATTTTTAAGTGCCGGTTTCAACTGTGAAAGATAAATACAAACGGAAAATCGGTAAATGAATACACAGCGATTGGAAAAGTAGTTAAATATAAACAATTCAAAGAAAAACAATCAGGAGGAAAGAGATAAAGGGAGAGACGGATTGTGTTTGTTTACCGTTGTTTGTGTTGAGCTGGTCGATGTGCTCGTGACAACTTTCACGGTTGAAGGCGGGGTTGTTGTTACGCTGCTGGAAGTGATTGTGGTGCTGCTTTCTTTTGTCGTTTCTTTGCTGGCTGTTGAACTGCTGCTGCTGCTGCTGCTGCCGGTATTCGAAGTCGATGGTTGTGTTGTTAGCGTCGATGATGGTGTCAGTGTTGTTGTGCTTGTTTTTGGTTTCAGTGAGTCAATCACACCGATCGGCCCGGACAAGTCAACATCGTTGTCGGGGCAACTCAATTCCTCCGGCTGAATGGAATAGAAACCACGATCCCGGAATCGATTTGGTGAACCACAGAATTGTGGATTGCGTTCGCGTGACGTAACTTGCAGGTCACCATTACGTATCCATTCGGCGACCCATCTCAATTTGCAGTCACAATGCAGAAAACGGCCGCCTAACGATAAACCCCGCAGCGTACGATTCAAGTGTGCTAACGCTTTTTCTGGTACGGTTGGCAATGGGTTTCCATCGAGCGCCAATAATGTAATGCTTGGATTGCCACGGAACGCCGTCTCAGGTAGTGCGGTGAGCAAATTAAAACCAATATCTAAAACGCGCAACTCTTTCAGCGAATGAATTGCACCGACCGGAAATTCGGCCATTAAATTGTTCAACAAACTCAACGAGCTCAACGTCTTTCGTACGCCAACAAACGATGTTTCGCTGAGTGTTTGAATTAAATTCCGTTCCAAATTCAATGCGGTCAACGAGTCTAGGCTTTCGAATGTACGTAAACCACCTGGCCCAGGCAATTCACGTATACCATTTTGTGATAAATCCAAAAATGCCAACGTTTTCAAACCACGAACACAGTCGGGTACACGCTTCTGTTTCGTTCCCTTCAAGTTCAAGTTCTTTAAACTTTGTTCGAGACCACGAAAGGCGCCGCTGGCCAATGTTACATTATTATCATTCAGTTTGAGTGTCGATACTTTCGATAGGCCATGGAATGCATTGTCACCGATGTGTGTTATCCGGTTCTTGGACAAATCCAACAAATTTAAAATCGACAATAGACGCAGTGCTCGCTGTGGAACGGCTTCCAATAAATTGTCTTGCATATTCAAGTTTTTCAAATGCTTCTCTTGCCCCTTGAATGCACCATCTTCGATCGTTTTAATTTGACAATTGCTCAATTGCACATTGTGCAGATTTAAATTAAGGAACACATTATTTTCTAATTTTTCAATCGTTGAATTATTGATGTACAGCAAATCGATTGGTGTCGAACGTGCAAATCGATTTAACGCTTCCAATAAAAGCGGAAAATCAACCTAAATTCAATGGAATGAAAAAATAAAGAAAAACAAAATGAGAGATGGAAAAAAAGAGTAGAAACAAATGGTAGCGAGAAAAAACCACCGTTGAAAGAATTTGCTAGAGTTGCTGAATAAATTTAAAGTTCGTGTGATGAATAATTGGTGCATTTCGCATACCTGATCACACTGCACAGATAGCTCATGACCCAAATTGTATGCACACAAGCAAGCCGTTTGCAAATCAGGAACGTCTTTGTGCCACGGACACTGGGCCAGCGACGAATTTATTACGGCTAACACTAAACATAGCAAACGAAGTACTCGCATTTTGAACATCTGAAATGAGAGAAAAAGAGAAGAAAAAAGTAGAAATCAAAATCGGAATTAGAATAATGTGAGCAAACGAGAAAATCTACAGCAATAGAGATGAAATAATGTATAGAAAAAGAGGGAAAAAAATTTCCAGTGTTAAATAAATGAAAATGTTTGAAAGCCAGTTTTCAAAATGTGATGAATGGAACCGTTAGTTTTGATGGACGTAACACGGCGAAGCGATTGGAATTGCAGCCGCACAAAATGCTGTTCGATCGGTGGTGATTAAGTGTGCATAGTTGTCGATGGAGCAAGTGGAAGTGACTCAAGCAAATACAATATAATGGCTATTATTGTCATTCGCACGATGCTCTGTCTGTCAGTCCGGGCTCTATATTTCCAAAGCCTACATCTACAAATGAAGTCAATGTGCGACTGAGCTGCATCAGAATGACTTCATTCCATTTACGCTCCGATTTGTTAACAGTTACTCTCCAACAAAGAAGGGAGATAGAAGTGCCGTACTTGCTAGAAAAAAAAAACGTTAAAGAGACGAAAGAGTGCAAAAAAGAACCAAATCGAATAGTCAATGCTCAAGTGAATGCATTTGCCTGCTTTGGCAAAGCTAAATTTCAGTGGCAGTCGATGTGCTAAGCAAAGTGGCTGCCGATCTACAGATGGATTGCACTTACTGTTCCCGTATCGGTCTGTGTGTCGAATACATTTCTATATCGTCTACCGTTCTCGCTATGCGGTGAACAGCCCAGTGCGTTGCTGTTTTTCTTTCTACTACTTTTTTTCTCTTCCAAATCAATTACTTGCGAATTTTTCTAAAATCAACATAAATAACCAACGGCACAACGGTAATAGGAAAAATGGCTATAAAGTACAAACACACGCAGCTACGTACAAAAATGCACAGTTAGAATTTCGAAACTAGTTTGCAACAGTGTGTCGATTTCCCAACCAGCGCACGATGCAATGTATATACTTCTCTCCAGTCAAAGCGCGCGCGCGCTTCTTACGTTGTGACTTTGATATATTCCATTCAAGTGCACCGCACAACCACACACATACGCGAGATATATTGGCACAAAAAGCACATGCCTGTGCTCATTTACGATGAAAACTGCGATGACGACAAAAATAAACTCAATCACATTCATTGACTTTGGTCTAAAACCGAAAATAGAATTGCGAAAAGGAGAGAAAAAAGCATGCAGAAGAAAGCAATTGCAATAAAAATCAGTACGAACAGATAATCGAAATCAGTTTGCACATTTTGCTATTGGTAACTCGGCATTTATTTTATGTATGCGACACATAACGGAAAAACAACCAAATTTTGTAGTCAGCAAACTACTTGTTTTTTTTTTCTATGTTCCAACGCCATAATTATCGATTTCATTACAAATTGTCGATATAATTAACGTGAACGAATTTCTAATGGACGTTGAACGCGTCACTTGTTAGTTAGCAGTTGGCAAGTTACTATACGTGTTAAAAGGAAATTTAAACGGCATTTTGTCCTGTTCCATTCAATCAATACGGTGGCGATGGTGACAGAATGTGTAATGATGAACATAAGTTTTCAGTTAGACACCGGATGTGGCACGCAGAAAACTTAGACATTGATTTTCATGTAACTGTAACTACCGACTACACACAATTCCAATCGAGAGATAGATATAGAGAAGTTGTTGATATAATTTTCTTCCACTTCTTCTTCTTCGTCTTCAGTTTCTATTCAATTTGATTTTATATCTTGCAATTTGGAACGCACAAGTTTTGTTGGATTGGCAACGACGACGACGACGACAACGGAATGTTGCAATATTTCACTAATGAAAATGTAATTTTTTTAGTGCCGAAATGAGTGTGTGTCTGTGTGTATAGTTCCATTCATCGTATTTGTTACACACGGTAAACTGGTTTAAGGTGCCATAGTCGAAGTGCCTGAAATGACGGTGAGTCAGTCAGTCAATGTTATGAGGGCTTTATCTCATCATAACATGCAAACTTTTAAGTGTTTCCAAAACTAAGTTTCGGTTGTTTTGTTTGTTTTTGCAAGCCAGAGGAGAACAAGCGGTAGCTTATGCTCAATTTAGTCAAGAAGAATTTTGATCCCTCAAGCGTACATATTCCACTTTGTCTCTCTCTTTCTCACTCCTTTGTACTCTGTTTCCCACAATCTCCGCTTCATGCTCTCTTTTCTAACTCATTTTCTCTTCCTTCCGCACTTCCTCGTAACTCATCCTACTTATGTTTTGGACATATCTCTCTATTTTACCCCATTTCGGTTGTCGGAAAACTTCTAAATCTTGATTTTTGGCCCGATAATAAAAGTCAAAACTTCAGCTAGCTGCATGCACAACTTTGTCACGAGAGCTAATATTTTTAAATTAATTATCCACTTAAAAACGATATAATGTTCTTGATTGCTTATTTAATTGAATTGGCTACACTTTTCGGGATGACGCAAACAGCACCGAATTATGCATTAATCGGTTAAAAGCACATTTCGAATTATAGCGTGTATTGCGGGATTAAATGTTGGCTATAAATAATAGTGATTTTATAGACAAAAGAACAAACACTCTTAATAAATCACAGCATTCGGGAATGCACATGTCTATTGTTGTATCGAAATAATTCAGCTGCGTTCTCTCTCACTCACTCTCTGTCGTTGTCTTTCCCTTTCTGGCATACCAATTTTCCCTCATCCCCAGCATCATTTGTATGCATGTGGCTTGAGAGATGTGAGCAACATTCCATTGTGTTGAATAAGTTATGAAATTCAAAATTCATGCAAATTCTTGAGCTTTGTGTGTTAAATTTCATAGTTTGAAATGTATTTAAAACCGATGAGATGCCCGAAGCAGTGTTTCTCAATTTCTCCGACTCACTCCCTTTCCATTCTTCTTTGTCTCAATTCAATCATAAAATCCAGACGATCGATCGGATTTTGCATTTAGCATCGGATGTTGCAGCATTGGTGTCGCTTTGAACGATTCATGAACTTCATAAAAGTGAAAATGTGATAAGAATATATCGGCATTGGATTGATTCCTTTTAGCTTTAAAAGACGACGTTTTTTTGTCGTTCAGCCCCATTCGTTTGTACACAACACAGAGTGTGTAACGCATTCGATCGATTTTATTTTGTTGCTATGGAAAATGAGAATTTGCTGTGTTCTGGTTTAACACGGGCTGTCGAATGAAAAATGATGCAATATTATTTGATATGAAAAAAAATGGTATCACTTTTAAGAATATTCGCTTTGCGAGGGTGTTAAACAGTATAAAAAAAGATGAAAAAGAGAAAACGCTTTTATGTTCTTATCATCATTGAGAATTGGTGCTTCATCCCCTTCCTTTACACGATGCTTACCAAACAGCATTTATGTATTAATACGTAACCAATTGAACTTTGTGATGTAATTTATTATCGCCGTTCATTTCTCACCCGAAAATTTGTTGTCGGCTTGTTCTATTTTGAGTAATCGGATGACGCAACTCATTTCTCTTTCTTTCGCAATTGATGCAGTGCCGAAAGGGAGCAAAATGAATGAATCAAGACAAAAACCGAAGGTGTAGACACGTAATTGTGAGGAAAGAAATGTATGTGAGTGTGTCTATGATTAAATGCTCAGTATCAATCAGATGCTAGATCGTCCATTCGACTGATGTATCAATGATCAGCAATCTGTATCCTGTACATCCACTCTCTTCTTCTTCGCACCCATGCGCACACACACACACACACACACCCACCCAACACAATACAATGGCCATCTGAATTTCAGATTTTACGAATTGGTGCATTCGAGGTACGTGCGGACAGTGGTGATTTATTGGAATCGCTTTAATTTCTTCGGATGAATATATTTCTTGTTGAAATGTAAGCCGTAAGTGGCTGTAGTGGCTAAACACATGTACACAAGGATTTGTGGATATATTTTGAATTTATTTGCAAGAGAAATGCTGAGAAAATCAACTGATTCGACATGAATCACTTCATTTGTGAAAGGCATAAATTCATGAAAGTTGCATAACAAATGAAACCCAAAATCTATCCCAAAAACTAAATTCATAATGCACATGTACGATAGAGAGTGTGAGAAAATTGGCGAACCAAATGGAAATGCGACACCAAAAGAAGACACATCACAGCACAGCACACACGCACGCAGTGAGAAAGGAATAGAGATCGAAAGAGAATCGAAACAAAAGCTCATCTCCTCCATTACAATTGATAAATTGATTCCACATACGTATGGTTACACTGGGGCTTGATTAAATCTTCAAACAAAAATCCCATTCATTGTTGCATCAATTTTCCTTTCAATTCGTTTTGTCCAGTCGCAAGTAGCTTTATGCCTATTTTGTACAATTGTTCACGACTTCAATGAATTTACACACAATGAATCACACGAACGAACGAGCGAAAAAAAAAAGAAAAGAACTGAAAAAAAACACACATACACGTATCTAAAATGATATTAATCACTGGTACTTTTGGGTGTTTTTCACTTATTGAAAAACAAGTTGCGATGATGAGAACCCACTTTTTTGTGTATATGCGTGCTGAAATCATGCTCGTTATTCAATTGCATAATAATTGTATATGTTGTATCTTCATCTACCGTCGTGGTTCGACCTTTTGTGTGTGCCATCGATGACTGTTTTTTGTGTGTGTTTTTCATTCAGTTTCAATTGAATGGAAGTGTTTTTTTTTCCATTGAAGTACTTTCAAACAAGTACTTGAATGACGCCGAGAAAAAAATACCAACACAAATGACCTTTGTCTTGCCCAAACTGCTTGTTATCGCTCATTCAAATCGAACTTGAACGGTGACCCGGTGCTCATCCCAGCACTTCAAATGAAAATTTGATATATAAAACCAATTTAACAGTGATCATTGTCACATCTGCAAGAATAATGAAAAAAAAGTGGCACAAAGTGGTCTGAGCCACAATAAAATGGATCGAAAGAAGAACAAAGTCAATTTTGAACGCGATGAGAACCACTTCAATGTTATTATTATTCATAAATAAATGATGATATGGCAAATTCATTGTATTTTATTTATTTTTCCATTTTCATTATAATACACCACGAGAGATGAATCTGAATGGCACTCGCCCCCATTATTACCCAATCCATGATTCTTTTCCGTCGTGTTGTTTTTCTGCTGCAGCAGCGCAACAAATGAAAATGTTTTCATAAAGTTTCATATCGACGAATTGATTAATTGTTCCATTTTAATTTGATTATAAACATAATTAAATCCATATACGTAAATTAATTGATTATATTTTCATGAATATTTACCGACACGGGCCGAAAAAATATACCCACATATACGATACGCGCGTGCGAGCGGTAGCACATATGAATTGCTGCAAAAATTGTATGAATGACACGTTTGACAGTTTTTTTTTAATTATGAATATTTAAAAATTAGAGCAATCCATATAAACGACTTTAAACAGGTTTCATGGCATCAATCAAGCAACGTTGATATTGATGCTGGATAAAGTGGACTTTTTAATCGAAGATAATAAACAGAGAAAATGTTTATTGCCTCGAATGTAATGATAAAATGAAAAATGAACGGACGATGGCAATCATTAAATGTGTCAGGCGAGTTTGCGGAGGAAAGTAAGTAAGTCATCATCAATTTGTATCGCTTTGTTTCACATTTTCATAAGACATATTGCATCAATCTGCTCGCACAAGAAAAAAAAACTCATCTCCCTGATCAATTTGTTGTAACAGAGACGGCGATGGTGGGAGAGAAAGCTTTAAAAATGTGTGCAATAATGTAAATGTGCAGACGGCAAGCAAGTGGGAGAGATGAACTTTCCATATGCACAGGTAAAGATAGAGAACGACGAAAAAAATGGGAAAATAAGTGATTATTTCAGCATGCGAATAACAAAAGTGCCATAAAATTATTCCATGCCGCTTTCACTGTTAATTTTCCTCATGGGCTCGAACATGTTTTATGTGACACATTCATTTTTTTTATTATTGCCGTCGCTGCCACCATCACTCACTCTCATTCGCTCTGTTCTGAAAACAGTATCCTCTGCTGACATCGAACTTACGGTGTTTTGTGCCTTCGTCTTTTTTCTACTCTTCCTTCTCTCTCTGTGTGTATTTCACCCATTCTTGTATATTACGGCAAACGGATGCAGACAATAATTTGTATTTCATAAATAATTCACAACACTCTCGATATCGAGACAGAAAGCACAACGTTAGCGTCAGCCGGAAAGTTGTGCGAACCGAGAAAAAATAGGAAGAAAGACAACAGGGAAAAAACTGCATGAAGAAGCAAAGCACACGAGTGCGAGAGTGCAAAGAATTCTGATGTACAATACCATTATCCATTGAAATTATGCAACCTAAAGCATTTACGAGCACACTTTTTTCTTTGTGACTATTTTCAAATTGAATACAGTCTCTCTTTGGACTGCAAAATTGCAAAAAAGGCTAAGAATAGCATCGCACATGGAATTTTTTTAATGCTTTGGACTAAGGGCATTCTTTGAAATAAACACCGCTCACACAAAACCACTTATATTCCCACCCACTCTCGCTTTCATGTAAATAGAAAAAAGCTCGACCCAATAGAATTTATGAATGAAACGAGCATATTGAATTGTTCGATAAAATGGACGGCGCCCGTGGAATAGAAAGAAAGTTTTCATCAACGTAAATTAATACCGACAAATTGTATCGGAGACTTGAAAAAGCCTGTTGGCTAAAGTGCTCTCTTTGTCTGCACGTCATATGAAATTATGTCATCGACCAACGTGTTTGGAGGCACGAATCGCTACCTTTCGGAGAAAAAAATGTGTCGTCAGTGGTTGTTGTCGTCGTCAACGTCATCGTGCTCTACTAACCGATGCATTCAATTTGCTGTTTATATGGTGAAAATGAGAATCGAAATACGTTGCTTTGGCTCCCACGTTGAGCATGCATACAATTTTATCGAATGTCACTGATCCACTCGCTGTTAAATCTTGTGAATTATTAATAAAATGTGAGAGCGGTCGATATATGACCGTGTGGTGTTCACATTCAATCCTCTCGTCGTTGGCAATAGATTTTTATTTGACCACAAGGGTTCAACTTTCCCATGCACCTCAATTTATTTAGCGGTTCTATCAAACGGTACACACAATTGTTATTAAATTTACGCGCAATGCACGTTGGCTTTTATTCAGCCATTGAAAGCGAGTAGATTTTATGACTTCATAAAATAGTGAACTTGGCAAATACGCGGAAAAACAATAAAAATGTCCGTCTCGGAATAAATACTATTTAAACTCAAAATAGTTTGCGTTGAAACTTCCGTCGCCTATGCAATTTTGTGTATATACGCTTGGATTTTTCGTTTTTTCGTTCGAACAACTAAATCAAAAAAACTGGATGGAGTAATATAAAATTAAATACATACCTTTTTATACCTCATCAACGAGCAAACGAGCACGTGTTGTTTACGATAAGTGTAAAAATTTGCCTGGAATAGAATGGAGAGAAAACGAAATGGGTTAGTGCAATTTGTTTCATTGCCAAAAAAACTTCGATAACTACAGAGACTCTCTAGAGACTGAATGACTATCAAAAAAGCGGCAAATGTCGATGTTTATTTTTATGTTTGCTTCGACTCGATTTTGTATCCATCAAATTGAATTAAAATGTTAATATAACAATGATACCCATGTTTTGATTGCTTTCAATTTCGGCGCTCTTCGTTCACATGACGCACGAGATTACAATGAAAATGAGCCAAAATATTGCGAATATTGTAAATATGCCAAAAACAATAAAATTGAACAATATTTCACTTTACACACACAGAGAGAGAGAGAGAGAAAATTATAAAACTTTTCATTCGCCCGACTTCAGTCTCTCTCTCCTCGCAACAGTTGAGTTTGATTGCGATTTATTTTCATCAATATTTGGCTTTTATTTTCATTAAGTGCTCAACTCGAAACTGTTCACCGCATACATAAACATTGATAGCGGAAAAGTGAACGAGCGAGCCGGGCGACTGAGTGAGCGCCCACCAAAAATGGAGAATGATTGGAATGACGGCAAACAAAGTATCGTCATTGATACTTTGACTTTTGCCAAAAACTCTATTTATAGAAATCGAACTGATAAAAGAGCAGCAGACGTAAGAAAAATTTCAAGAGAAGAAAAAAAATCACATTAAAATTCCATCGCACCAGAAGAATGCTGGTAAATATACTGCATTGTGAATTGATATAGACGCATCACTGTCTAATGCGATGGAAGTTTTTAGCGATGGTCATTCACATCACAATAACTTCTAACTAAGAAAATGCCAATATCTTAAGTCCACTCCCGAATGAGTGAAAGTAAAACCAAACACGAAATAGAAAAAAAAACTTTTGCAAACAGATCAGTCGAGAACATTGGGTGCACCAAGGAATGACGAAAACAGAGAGAGGGTGAATGGAACTGAACACACACTCCACGCTTGAGAGAGGTAAAGAGAGCGAGAAAAGAAGTGAAAATAAAGAGAAAAAAAAGATAGAGATCGAAAGAAAAAGAATATCGCGTTTCAAAGTGGAATATTGACGTACCAACGGAAGAGAGAGAGAGAGAGAGAGAGAGAGAGAGAGAGAGAGAGAGAGAGAGGGAGAAAAAACAACAATCAAGAGCATAAGTTAAGTAATACCACACCGAAAAACTTTTGCTGCGAAAAGTATTTTACGTGATATTACACGAATTATACGGATACTTTTACGTATTATCCTATGCAGTTAAAATGTCTTGGAAAATCGGGAGCGTGAGAGAGAAGGAGGGAGAACGAGGGAGAACGAGAGAAAAACAGAAGAAGTTTTAAAAAAAAACACCAAACTAAAAATACACTTCTGTCCGAATTCGAATTATTTATCACCCGATTAATTCCTCTGGAGTCACAAAGCAACAAAACTGAATCCGAAACATTCCAAAACAAAATTTAAAAAGTTCAAACAATTTCTGGTGTTTTGGCCTGTTTACTTTTCTTATTTTGTTAGTAACACGAATCGTGTAAAGCAAAGAAAACAAGCGCGCACGCACACAATATCGACGAAACGTGAAACAAACGAGCAAATAATACTTTGTGTGATGAAGTCGCGTTGTATTGTGATGTAGAAGTTTTGCTCGGTGGCGGACAAGTGCAAGCGCGTAAGCCTTTCACGAGTCAAAGGGGGAAGCAAAACGAAATCCATATCAAACAAAAATACACGAACGCACACAAATAGACGTCTAATTTTACACAAAAATTGTTTGGCGTTTACTTTCGCTTTTCTTGGCTCGTTTGATGCTCTCGTGCCCGTTGCCTGCCGAATCGGCCAATGATTTCTATCGCTGTCGAATACGGATATTGCGTGTTTGTTAGCTAAAAGCTGATGTTCTGTGTACATAAATCATATTTTTATGTGATTTCTTCTTTGTCGATTGACGATAGAGAAAACAATCTAAATCGAAAATGCCATTCTAAAAATAGCGCAATTTGTGTGTCCTTATGCCGGAAGGAACAAACATACACACACACGGTACTCTGTATACCGCACTCGACGCCCGTATGGCAATAAGAGCCGATAAAAATTCCAAATCGATTTGACTCGGCTGGATCTAATATTAAATCTGTTTATTGCCTGTGAACCATTTGTTGAAAAGATGGAACGAATTAAAGCATTCACACAAAGCGAAGAAAATATGCTTTGTGTGCCATTGTGAGGGCGTTTAAGGTATTCTTTGTGTCGCTCTCTCTCTCTCTCGCTCGCCCTGCTTTGTATTGTTCATTCATTCTTCAGAGGAAATAAACGTCGTTGTCCCTTGATTTCGATTTGATTTAAACGGAGCGGAAAGTTTTCTAAATCATTCGACCCGTTGGAAAATTTTACAAGGCAAGAGAATTGTACACGAAATTAAAATACAAATGCCTATAAAGTCGAAATTCTTTTGAAACAACCAATTGAAATGGCAATATTTTCATAGAAACTGTATTGGAATGAACGAACAAACGAACGTACGGTTGAACGTCAATTACACATTACAATCACCCATGGGATTTTTCATGCACGCGAGCGGTGAGCGAGCGATAGAGTGAGCGAAAAATGATTATTCAATACAAAATTGATTTCAGTTGAAGCGTTGATTTGACTCCTAATTAAATGATTGCCAAATAGATTTATTACGAAAATCAATGAGCCAGTCGAGACAACAATCATATATAATAATTGTACACAACAGACGGACTGGGCCAGTCCGTGCGTTTGATGTGAACTTCATAGTTGAATCGTTCTTCCGAACCATTACGAATTTTAAATCATTACACATCCAATTAGCACATGCACTCGTTGCATGTGTCGGCTTTGTGAGATTCATCACGGCTTTGTGAGATTCATCACGGCTTTGTGAGATTGCTGCGTTTGTTTGAGCGCGCGTGTTCGTTTATATTCGCACTCGCTCGCTTAATCTCATTCATTCGCAAGCAAGCAAGCAAGTCAGTAACAAAAAAGCCCATCTAAATTATATATGGCGAAAAAAAAAATCGGTTCACATGAGCCCAT